TTTATTTACCGGTATTTTCAAAACCGGTTACAAGCCCTGATATGAACCCCCGCGCTGGTGAAAATTTCATTTCCTACCGCCAAATTCGTCACTTCCACTAATTTCAGAGCCGCCATTAAGTTCCACGATTTAAATCAGGGCTTGTAACCGGTTTAGAAAATACCGGTAAATAAAGGTTAATACCGGTTTTTAGTAAAGGTTTCGTTCGGAGCGCGTCCGAAATGAAAGCGGTCCTAAAACCTTAATAAACCGGTTTAATCCACAGCGACACGTGCACGCGTCGGCATCGCTTGAAGTTTGTTTTGTTTGAACTAATCAAGTCACAACTTGTTAATGCTCAGAGATTGATGCATTTATTGACACGTTTGCTAGCGTCTAGTGAATCAAGTTATTCATTTTGTAGTTGTGTACTTATTTCACATTTTCAAGTGAAGCATGGGCCGTAAGAGGAAGAACAAAATATATAGTTATTTTGATTACGATAAAGAAATAAATAAATCCAAATGTCTAATTGAAGGATGCGGGCTAACAATGAAGGTAAGTTATTTTATTGAATCCTTGTTTATGACTTATCGTCGTGATAATTAAAATCAAAATTATCTTTCGAGTTTATATAAGTTATCCTAGCCGTGATGTCGTCCGCGATAAAATATTTTTAAAATAAGGGCTGTTAAATTGTTTAAATTTATATTTTTTTAGTCTTAATAAGGACTTATCACTAAATATTTATAAATATTAATACCTATTTTATAAAACAAAACTGTCTTCAAACTAAAAAGATTAAATTAACATAATAAACATGACTAATAAGTTAGCTTTGGAGTCTAGTCCAGTCAATGAAAGCTTAACTTAGCCATTTTGAGTTGATCACCTGCAACCAACGCGAAAATTTCCGTAAGGGTTCGTAGATTAATATACTAAAATTGCAGGGTGCTGCATTGACGGCAAAGGGTGCAAAAACATTGCGAAATGGTGCAAAAACGAGTTTTTCGTCAATATCTCGCGACTGGCTGGGAAAATAGAAAAAGTTCCTACTACAAAGTTGTAGAAAATTTAATTTCCTACAAAAAAGGTATCAACATATTTTCGCGTATCTCCCATAGTTTTTGCACAAAATGCAATTAAAGGTGCAAAATAATAATAAAATAATAATATATGGATACTCGTTATTTTCCATTTTAAAACGACCCTATGGGTCAAATTCAACAATCATCACTTACTGAAATATTAAAGGATAAGTTTTCGAGAGTCCACTGAAATGAAAAGTGTCTACCGAAATGGTAAAAAAATGACCACCGGAACGATACAGCCAAGAACATCGCCTTTGTAATAGAAGGGTTCCCTACTTTGAATCTAAATAAATTTCCTTATTTCTTGTAAATATTTTTGTTCATTATTTTATAATAAGAATTAATTCATTGTGACTCCTATTAATTATTATAACTAATTATAATTATTAATAGATACATTTTCAAAATAACAAACAAAGCGCGTTTAAAATCGAGAAGTTTATTAGTTAGTAAATCGTCCCCTTAGCCCCAAAACCGATTATCTGCACTTTTCCCCTACTGAACTTTTATTATACCAATCGACCCGTCTCGTTAAGCCGCATCTACAGGTAAAACCCATTATGCTCTACGACGCATACTTCCTGAAATAGCTAGTGAAAAAAAGAATAACTGCAAATTATTTCCAAAATTCTTGATTTAAAACTTAATAAACCCATTCAAAACACATTATGTTCGTTTGTGTTATCGCTGAAAACAAGTTTCGGATTTAAACTATTTTTTTGTGTAGACAGAGTAAATATCCTTTGAGATAAAATTAGGTATCCCACGGTAATTGACTATGACTGTTTGAATTTTACCAGATATTTTAATTTCACGTGACTTGGGGCCCAATTCTCGCGGCATAGATATTATATCACCTTCGATATATATCGAATGATCTGGCTTTTATCGAAGGAAAACTTTTTTGCCCTATTCTCACCATGTCGCAATAGATATTTATCTACGGATGATCAGTAGACATACATCGACTGGTAAAGAGCCTTCGATATATAAATATCTATGGATCTTGGCATGTCAATCTTGTTATTTCCACTTTTTTTACCTATTATTTATTGTGTTGTCGTGTGTCTTTGCCAATTATTGTTACCTCAAGATGTTGTTAACTGCCTTCATAAATAATTAGTAAATAAAGAAGTAGGTAAACAATGGTGTCGATTCTGGCGTGATTCTCTAAACTTAAAACTAAATTTAACATCAGTCTCTCTTTTTCATTCTGTATAGAGAATGACAAAGAAACACTGTTGTCAAGTTTATGTTTAGATTTAGAGAATCGACACCAGTTTATATTAACGATGGATGAGTTGATTCATGTTTTCGTCAATGCTTTAATAAATGACGTGATTGCTGCTGCTGTGCTAAGGCGCCGCCGTTGTGAGAGCAAGAGGACCCATTTGAAATGAGGGACGCCGACTTCATAAAAAAATTACGTTTAAACAAAAATTTGGTTAGAAATCTTTAAAGTTATGAATGACATTGGTATCGATTCTGACACGATTCTCTAAACTTAAAACTAAATTTAACATCAGTCTCTTCTTTTCATTCTGTATGGAGAATGACAAGGATACACTGTTGTCAAATTTACGTTTAGGTTTACAGAATCATGCCAGAATCGACACCATTTTCTTATTGACGATACGGAGTTTTGGCGGGATTTCTGCGAGTGCGGTTGGCATCTTATTTTAATTATTCTAAAATTCGTTCATAGTGGATATTGTGAAATAAAATTGCTGTGATTTGGTGTTACAACCGTCTGCGCAACTGAAGAATTAGTGGAATCTTTAAAATATACGCTATTCCAGTCAAGTGGACGCGAGAAGTTTATTGTAGTGTTGACTACCTCACAGAAGCTTAGAGAAAAAGCCAACTCCATAAATTTCGTGCCAAACACTCCAAGAAACATTAGAATGCGTCACACCGACATTCGAATGTAAAAAAAAGAAGATTAATATAACTAAAGACTAGGCTTTATGGGAATTGTTCCCTTTGCCTTCCCTGAATAGGGAGAATCTTTAATAATATTGACGTTTCATTATACTTAACGTAGAAATTATATACGCATACAATTTAGGTAAAGTTGAGATTTCTTATACTCAAAAAATGTATACTCATATTTAATATGAATAGAATTCATAAAATATCATTTTGTTGCTTGTAAAATTCTGCTCTAATTTATTATTATTTTATATAGACTATGATGTTAACTTAATCGAGAAAAACGGAACGCATTCGGCAGTGAAAGAATATCTACGATAGATATAATATCATTGGAATATCGAAAATCCACGAGAATAGCATTTTTTACCATCAGTAGATATTTTCAATAGATATCCCTACTTTCGATATTATCTCGAAGACGATATAATATCTACGCCGCGAGAATTGGGCCCCTGGTCGGATAAGTTCACGTGACATAGTTATTTGGCATTTTTGGAGTTTATTTTTGATCGTCGTCTTTCTTAGCAGTTATCATTTTAAACCAAAAACGCAGAATAGTTTACCCTGTAATGTTTATTAGTGATTCATTAAATAAAAGAATAACAGTGTTGCCCAGCGCGCGATTCGACAATGAATGAATAAAAGTGAGCAACTCTCTCGCTAGCGCGCGATCTGTGTACGGAAAAGAACAGAAACATGGATAGTTGGTTTTAGCCGAAGCATACATTTTAAACTAACGATGACTAACGCTAATAAAATACAGTGGAAGAAAAGAGTAAGCACCGTTAATCGATTTTAGCTGAAGTATTTTATAAAGAGTCGAATAAAAGTTATTCAGTAAAAACAAATTGAAAATCGGTATCTTCTTTTACTTGTCTCAAATATAACGCAAATATATATAGTATATATTTTTTTGTAAAAAGCGACTTAGATTTGTTAGTTCATCTAGTAAAATTAAAATATCTGGTAAAATTCAAACAGTCATAGCCAATTACCGTGGGATACCTAATTTTATCTCAAAGGATATTTACTCTGTCTACACAAAAAATGAGTTTAAATCCGAAACTTGTTTTCAGCGATAATACAAACAAACATATGTGTTTTGAATGGGTTTATTAAGTTTTAAATCAAGAATTTTGGAAATAATTTGCAGTTATTCTGTTTTTTCACTAGCTATTTCAGGAAGTATGCGTCGTAGAGCATAATGGGTTTTACCTGTAGATGCGGCTTAACGAGACGGGTCGATTGGTATAATAAAAGTTCAGTAGGGGAAAAGTGCAGATAATCGGTTTTGGGGCTAAGGGGACGATTTACTAACTAATAAACTTCTCGATTTTAAACGCGCTTTGTTCGTTATTTTGAAAATGTATCTATTAATAATTATAATTAGTTATAATAATTAATAGGAGTCACAATGAATTAATTCTTATTATAAAATAACGAACAAAAATATTTACAAGAAATAAGGAAATTTATTTAGATTCAAAGTAGGGAACCCTTCTATTACAAAGGCGATGTTCTTGGCTGTATCATTCCGGTGGTCATTTTTTTACCATTTCGGTAGACACTTTTCATTTCAGTGGACTCTCGAAAACTTATCCTTTAATATTTCAGTAAGTGATGATTGTTGAATTTGACCCGTAGGGTTGTTTTAAAATGGAAAATAACGAGTATCCATATATTATTATTTTATTATTATTTTGCACCTTTAATTTCATTTTGTGCAAAAACTATGGGAGATACGCGAAAATATGTGGATACCTTTTTTGTAGAAAATGAAATTTGCTACAACTTTGTACTAGGAACTTTTTCTATTTTCCCAGCCAGTCGCGAGATATTGACGAAAAACTCGTTTTTGCACCCTTTGCCGTCAATGCAGCACCCTGCAATTTTAGTATATTAATCTACGAACCCTTACGGAAATTTTCGCGTTGGTTGCAGGTGATCAACTCAAAATGGCAAAGTTAAGCTTTCGTTGACTTGACTATAATGAATTATCATTCAATTTTCTTTACTTTCTAGCACCGATTCGAAATCTAACATATTAAAGCATGTTTATTGTGTTATTTAAATCTTTTTTAGTTTGAATTACTTTTATTTTTTTATTCAATTAGGTGTTTGACTGTACTGGTAAGTCTAAATTTCAGATTCCTTTACTTGTATTTATAAGGTATAATTGTTTTAACGCAAAAGTCTAAATTAGTTTGGACAGTAATATATCAAGAACTGTTAGGGCTACATTAATGAAATATGGATTCTATTCAATCATTATCATATTAATCTAAGGGGTTCTAAAAAATATATCAAATTTCATATTTCGAGTTAAGAATTGGGTCAAGAGTAGCTCGAAATTGTTGCCATTTTCTTTTTTTTTCGAATTTGGCGTAAGACACTACTGTGTGTCTAACTAATATTAGTAAAATATTATAACATAATGAACAATTTAATATGCATTGCTGGATGATTCCAGTTCGGATTAATATCCAAACCCCTATTTTATCACTTAGCCCAGGAATTCACCACTTAGCTATCACTGTTTATTTCTTTTTGTATCTCTACTTCACTTATTTTTCAGGGAAATCATGGATCCAATTTACTTCGCCATTTCTATACACAGCATCGAACTAAATATGACGAAATAAAAAAGAGGGTGGAGCTGGAAAAACAAAATGACCTAACTACAAAAACGGAATCCTCTACTACTTTAACAGTAATTGACAATTGTGTAAATTTAGTCGCTGTGCATGGAAGACCGTTTACTTTATTACAAGATGAAGCATTCCAAAACTTGATCCAACTTATACCAAATATGAATAAAAGTTACATCAGTCCCACAAACATCAAGACTAAAATCGAAGAAAAAGCTTATGTAATTCGACGTCAAATCTATAAGGAAACAGAAAACAAACTTTTATGTTTAAAAGTAGATGTGGCATCAGTTAAATCGCGGAGATTTCTGGGCATTAACTTGCAGTATATTAAAGATGCTACACTTGTTCTGCGTAATCTTAGTGTTTTAGAGCTGCATGAGAGAAACACTGCAACTTTTCTTAAAGATACTATTACAACGGTATTAAGTCGATACGGTATTACAATTAACCAAATATATTCATTGACTTCAGACAATGGAGCCAATATGTTGGCAATGTCACGTCAAATTGCTGATCTTCAGGCTATACTTGACGAAACAGCTGAGGACAAAGATTCTTCTTCTGAAGATAATATTGATTGGGATTATTGGGAATCAGACAATTTACATGGCCACCAACAATTGGTAGATAATCTTAACAACATTGAGTTTGAAGATATCGTTGAACATGAGACGCTTTCCCGAATGACTGCTGTTCGCTGTGCTGCGCATACATTGCAGCTTGCTGTAAAAGATGCATGTTTAGAACTGCAACCATTTCTGGAAGAGTGTCGGCAAGCAGTAAGAGTACTTCGCACACCTAATGTCGCGCTTGTATTAAGGCTAAATAATTTACCACAAGCAATTTTGGACTGCCCTACAAGATGGGATTCCATTGTCAACATGCTAGAAAGGCTGATGAGATTAAAACAATTTTGTTCTACTCACACTTTACGTTTGCAGATAGAAGAGAACTCATGGACCAAAATTGAACAGAATCTCCAAGCTTTGAAACCTTGCAGAGAGTTATCTAAAACTCTTCAGAAAGAACAAATCATCATGGGAGATTTTTATATAGCTTGGTTAAAGTGTAAATTAGAAGTCGAGAACATGAATACTCCTCTAGCTATACTATTGGGTATATGCATGACCGAAAGAGAGTATCTACTATGGAAAGTACACCACGGCGAAATAAGGACTATGGACTAGAAGACCATGACCTTCCAAATTCAACATCCACATCAGATCAATGTTTAGAATCGGCGACCAACAATATTGAATCTCAACCATCAAGATCTGTAGAAGAAGGAAATCAGCCTTCAACCTCTTCAGCTATTATTTCTCCGAATGTTAGCATTGACATATTTTTGCAAAGGCAACATAGAGAACGTCGCTACCCTACAGTAAATAACACAGCGCGAGCAGAGCGAGTTCTATTAAACAACTCATTAAAAAACTTTTTGGATGAACCTTTGTTACCATCGAACGCTAATATTCTAGAATTTTGTAAAAATAGAAAAATTACTAATCATCAGCTATATTTACTTTCTCAAATAACTTTAGCTACCCCGCCAACACAAGTTAGTGTCGAACGACTTTTCTCATCTCTGAAGTTTGTGCTGAACAATTTGAGGATGTCTTTGAAAGATTCTAGTGTAGAAGATATATTGGTAGTAAGAAATAATACGTTTTACAATAAGTAACATGTACGATTTATATAAATTAACTAGCTGTTGCCCGCGACTTCGTACGCGTGGAATTAGTCATTTTAAGTAGCCTATTGTTTATCCAATCTGATTTTTCTCAGTCTGTTTACGGTTTGTATTTGAGTCAAGTTTTAAGTCTCTTAGTTTACCCAAGGAATAAGAATTTTCATACAACCTTTCATTAAAACCTAAAACCCCTATTTGAAACCCTTCGGGGGGTGAGGGGGGGGGGGGGGGGTTCCTTCTTAGTGCACCCTTAGACCGTGTACTGTCATACTTTCAAAAAAATTTTTTTTTCAATTTCTTTCAATAAATAAGAGCGACAGGCGGCCAGCATGCTCCGCCTCCTCGTCTCGCCCGTCGCCGCGCCGCCAGCATTTTGTCTTGCTTGCATCAAGCGCGCGTGGATTTCCTTAGCAGAGTTATTTTAGAAATGTATTTATTATACTCTTCAAAGATCTTATACTTACAATCATTAACAAATATATTTCGAAAAAGATTATTACAGGATTTTATGTTGATCAAAAACTCTATGGCCCATAACTCATTAATAGTTACACAACTCTTAACATCTTACACACGTGATAACTTTTAAACGAAATATCCGATTGAGATGAAACAATAGTTATTTATTATACAAGAGTGGAAAGTTCCTTTTTAACCGCGTGCTCGATTTGGATGACCGAGCAAGCGAAGGATTCTAAAGTTGAATCACGAGCGCAGCGAGTGATTCTAAATTAGAATCCTGAGCGTCAGCGAGGGAAACAAACGAGCACAAGGTGAAAAATCTTTCCACTCGAGTGCAATACGTAACTTTTCATCCCAGGAAATGACAAAATGAAAAAGAAAACAATTTATAATGACAAAATATTTTTATTTCAATTAAAACACATTAAGATAATCTATAAATTGAAGAAAATAATAAGAAGTAGAAAATAATTAAGAAATATTAAATGTAACGTTGCTACAGTTACTTATGTTAAGTTTAATATTTTTGTTAGGTAATGTTATGTTGGTGTTTGTGAATTGTGCGCTGTTTTGTGGTAAACTACTCGTATCAGTAATTTTAAATAGTTGTGCCGATTCATTGGATTCTATTGGCGTAAATGTTGGCGAGAGAGGGCTATTGTTTCCAATCTTATGGGGGCTCATTTTAGATGTAGAAGGGCGAGACCAAGAATCTGACAGAGGTTCTTTCAGCGTTATGGCCTCCACGATACTATTACAAATTTTTGATTTACTTTGGATTGAATCCTCTATGTATCCCTCTACAACCGAATTAGACTTCCAGCCTCCATGGCGCTTAAGCGATAGAAGATCAGCCCCTGATTCGGCCAAAAGTGTGGCTGAGGTTCTTCTAAAACAGTGACCGGTGTATAACGGGGGTTCTAAAAGTCCGAGAAAAGTTGCTATTTCTCGTGGAATACTGCCAATTTTATTCTGACCCATAGGTTGTCGGATACACTTTCCGTTGCGATATTGTAGAAAAAATCGTTCAATTGGGGTGTTAGAAGGACGTAAAGCTTGATATTTCTGAACAATGTTTACATATTCCTTGCAAATAACGAAGTTGCGGTCTTTTTTTGTCTTGGTATTTAGTACATTAATTAATAGCAATTCATCAGAATTATGAGAATATTTTGATACGTTATTGACATTAAGTAGTGTAAGTTCATTTGTTCGACATGCTCCGGTTATACCAATAATAAGAACAACCTGTAACAAAAGAAGTATTTATAATCGTAAATAAATTAATCAAATTAAAAATATTGTAAGTACTATGTACAATTTTATCAACAACAAAAAATTACACGTATTGACTTACTTTTGCCGCTAAATATACGGAATCAGGTGCTTCATTAATAAACTTTGCAATTTCAGATGCTGTGAAAACCTTCGATTTTTTTGGTTTATAACCAGATGAGGCTCTTTTTAAAAATGCCACTAATTTATGATAGGTGTCGATATGAACGTCTTTCTTCATCTTAATTGTTAATTTTAGCATTGAATACGTACTCCATAGCGTGCTTGCTTTCTTGGTCTCAGATAATTCTATAAAATATGCCAGCAAAACGTTTTCGGAGAAAGTTTTTGCTCCTTTAGCTAGTCGCCACATGTTAAATATATCGTACTGTTTCAAATACTTCTCTCGTGATTGCTGAGGGAGAAGGCTCATTTGCGCATTATTAACTGTTTCAGTTAACTCAGTTGGCGTTAGATAAACTTCATCGTCGCTAATGTCACTCATTTTAGTTGATTTTTTTGTACAGTTTTTAGGTTATGTTAATTATATTAAGCAATAAAACGTGAAAAACTAGAATGGCGCGAAGCACGCAAATAAAACAAAGAAACCAAGAAGGTTCCAAATTTAAATTTTTTCACAATTTAAAAAGTTCTAATCATAAATTTGGCACCATAGAGGTTACATTAAATAGGTTTAATGACGTTTTGAATTTACAATTATATTGAGTACTCATTATATGTGATGTTCTAAATTCAAATCTACTTTGCCGCTCAAGCGAATAAAATAGAATTTTCCAGCCAGATTTCGAAGCGCAAATTTACACTTTCCGAGGTGGTGGGATGAAAAAAGTATTTTACTTCTACATAAATACTCTTCATAACATAATGCTTAATTTCGATAAAGATTAATATTACGATACATATTTAACGTAGTTTTTTTTCTTCAGACGATTTAATAATTATTTTGAACACAAAATCGGTTATTGTGATTAAACCATGATAGCTAGATATATGTTCTCGCGGACTTTTTTGTAGGTCTTAATGGGATCTACAAACCCGTAGTACATCATTTTGTTCTATTGTCAATAGTTTTTGCAGCGCACGCAAAAATAGGTTTTCGATTTTACACCTTGTGTTACAAAATAGCAATTTTATTACGTATCCCTAATTTTGAAAAAAAAATAAACATAGCCTATAGCCTTCCTCGATAAAAGGACTACCCAGCACTGAAAGAATCATTCAAATCGGACCAGTAGTTCCAGAGATTAGCGCGTTCAAACAAACAAACAAACAAACAAACTCTGCAGCTTTATAATATTAGTATAGATTGCGTTAAGTTACAGTAGTACACACACACACACACATCTATTTATTTTCAGTTCTTCATCACACTTTAAATCAAACATATTTTTAAAATAACTGAGCCTAATACAGTAATTCATAAATACCTCCTTTGGAAGAATCAGCACATTGGCCTCCTAGAATATTTAATTTAATCTAGGAGGCCAACGTGCTCATGCTTCAAAAAGATTAACGATCCAGAAACATGGTGTTTTTGGACCATTTTTATATGCTATTGTTGCTCAGTTTCAGCATCTTATTAAGTATTTAGGGTCATTTTAGTAACACCTTGTATGAAGGGTGTAACAAAAAGGGGAAAGGCAAAGTTGTTTAGTTTATGAACACAACTATACCCTGTAATATTATATCGCCTTTTTGTTACACCATATAATTGATAATTAATTTTACGATAATACGATAAATTAAAATAACTTGTTATGCTGAGAATTTCTAAAATAAAAAAAAAAAAGAATTAAAATTATTGTTAGCATGAAAATCAGAGAAATTTTAGGGTTCCAAAAATGATTGTTTCTATTCTTGATTATGTGTGTTTATTTATGTTTCGAATTCGATGTTTATGTTTTAATGAATCAATATATTTAAGTATATTTACGTAAGCTTCAGAGCGCATACACGGTGCCAAAAATTGTAATTCGCCAATCAAAAGGTTCCCAAAGTAATAATTTCTTTTGTCAATCTCCTTTTCAAAAATACAGTCAATAAACTGATTGCCACTTGTTCTTATTTCTTCATCATTGTCACTTGTAACGTCTTCTTCTTGTCGTTCTGTATCAGAAACTACATCTTCACTTTCAGCATTTATCTTGGTTTCGTTCAGTTTTTTATTTGAAGATTCATTATTTTTCTTTATAGCCTGGGTATTAGAATTAAGTATATGTGCATCTGAATATTTTTTCAAATCATCTACTAAATCAGTTGTCCGACGCTTTTTTGGGCCTGATAGTAGAGATTGTGAACCGCCGCCATCATCCTCATTTTCATAAGCATATTCAGTGAAGAATGGTTGGCTATCTGGTAAATCTGAAAGAAAACCACATTACAAATCCGTAATCAATGCGCAGTAGTCTTTGAATGTATAAGTAGATAATACGGTCGTCGCTTTAACCTATTTTTTCCACTGCTGAACATTTTTTTTAGACATCGAAAATATTTTCTTATATTTTCAATATACTTCTTAAGAAAACTTGGAAGCAAAATATGTGTCTCTTATTTTTAAAAATTCTACTTAAGTAAACTTCCTAACTGAGCACACATACATAGGTAATTAGTAACAATTTCTTGAATATTTTAAGTAAGAAATTTAAGAGGATAACTTACCCATCTCATCCATTGGAACCTCAGATGAGAGGCGTAAAGTTTTTATTCTGAGAGGCGTAAGTATGAAACTATCACACACACACTATTTCACTCATTCGCTCTGTAGTTGGAAAGAAACTGACATAAAATCATTATAAATTTGAATTGAGCGGCGAAGGCGATGCCGTCAGTAAGAGCGAAATGAAACCCTTTAAAACCGCTAAATTGATTCAAAACCTATTTCATTTCGCTCTTTAGGAAAACCGGTTTTTTTAAGGTTAAGGTAGAACCAAACCTAAATAAAACGCTCCTAATGTACTTAACACTGATTTAGGTTTGAAAATTAACCGGTAAACAAGCCCTGATTTAAATACTGAAGCTCACCATCAGCCTGCCCATCGTTCCTCTTAGCCCCCTTGGTCGGAGGCTCCAACTTCAGTTTCTTGATGACCCTGGCGCTGGTCCGCTGTTGCTGCTGCGTAGTCAACGAGCCCAGCAGCTCAGCCTGCTCCGACTCGCTGCCCGACGCCGTCGCAGTGGGAGACATTGCGGATTCTTTCACTGCACTCGTGGTCTGCAAAGAGGAATATTTTTTTGAGAATGGTACAGCGCACTATGGGAACCCGCCTAAGAAAGCCATTTCATAAATGCTTTTTTCGTAACTATGATTCGAGGCATGTATTATACATCAAATTATAGCTAAAAAGTTACTTTATAATAATCAATATAATTTAAGTCTCTGACTCTTCGTTTTTTATAAAGAAGAACATCTAAAGTCTGGGAATGAAAAAAATACAAAAATAATAATATGATTTCAGTTAGTTTGGTAAGTTTTTTGTAAGTATTATAAATAAACTTTTATACACAAATTATACATTATTTAAAAGCAAATATATTCAAGATCAGGATGATATCTTTATTAACACAAGAGTTATAGATTTTTGAGATGAAAATGAGTCCCATAGTGCAGCGCTCCAACTGGACAAGTAGCTACCAAACCTCTTTGGTTTTATACGCCTAGATAAAGCAAATCCAAAAACAACACGCAAAAAAGGTTCACATTACGCTCAATGTGTGCGAACATTATCATTGTCACTAATGTCAGATTATACAAAGCAGTCAATGTGTGCGTGTGTAGCAACGAGCATATCTACCATATGTAGTAGATATTTTTGTGCCGCTTCCGTGCAGTTAACACGGCGCTTAGGGAATATTAAGTCAAAAATCATTTATTACAAGTACTTGTGAAGGTCGCTACGCCATCGGTTCTCAAAAGTACGGCGTGAGACCTTGTGCTGAGAAGAAGCGGCAAGAAACTCAGCAAGGGCCGTTTTGTATTAGTTAATTTGAAAAATTACTTCTGAGATACTTCTTACTATATCTACCCTTTTTGTTTTAATCTAAAGTTACAGTAGAACAATGTGAAATTGTCCCTATCAGCTCATGCAATTTTAATATAACGTCACGGCATATAATAGCCAACACTGTCATTCACTAGTGAATAGTTTACCAATGAGAGCACAGTTCCAAAATTAAAATCGGTTTTTAAACGGTATATCATAACAAAGTTTGACAATGAAGAGTTGCACTTGCAGCATTTTCTTGGTAAGTCTTCTCTTCAATGTCGATGCGGACATTTTGGTGGCCAACGAAACTGTGGTAAGTGGAATGAGTTAAGGGGCCCATATACGGAACGATTGATCTGTACGATCCGTCGTTTCAGACCAATCGAAACGACGGATCGACAGTGTATGTCAAGATCGTTAACGATTTACTTAATCGCAGACGTTATCGGAGATCGCAACAAAAACCCATGCAATCATGAATATCGTAAACGATCGATCACCAGTGTCCCATATACGGTACGATTGATCTGTACGATCCGTCGTTTCAGACCGATCGAAACGATGGATCGACAGTGTATGTCAAGATCGTTAACGATTTACTTAATCGAAGACGATATCGCAAATCGCAACCAAATCCCATGCAATCATGAATATCGTAAGCGATCGATCGACAGTGTTTCGTGTATGTAGTGGCATTTCTGAACGATCGATCGTTGACGATTTCCTTCAGATCGATCGCAACGACAAATCGTTCCGTATATGGGGCCCTTTAGCTCATAACTTGTATTGCTAGTGACTGACATTATTCTCGTCAAAGATAATTTTTCGTCCCTCCAGCGTCAACTGGTGCAATCTGCTGGATATCCAGTAGAGAGACACTATGTGCATACCTCAGATGGATACATCCTGCAAGTCTACAGGATACCACATGGAAGGGCAGAAACAAACAGAATTGAAGGGAAGAAGAAAGCAGTTGTACTGTTTCATGGTCTGACCGGTAGTTGTGATAATTACCTCATCATGGGTCCCAAAAAGAGCCTCGGTAAGTTAAGTATGATTGTTTTTTTTTTATCCTAATTTCGATTATATGATATCAATGAAAGTTTATTATGTTTGTTTCTCAGTCAAGTAAATCGCCAACGATTTGTATTTATAGGTACTATCGCGGAATTTTGCGCTCTGTCACTTGGCGAACAAAATGCTATGAACGGTTTTCTACAGTAGTTTTTACTACGCCCCGCCTTCGCGACGGACGCGCCAATCCGGGCCGCCGCACAAAAGTAAGACAGAGAGCATTTCATTGATTGAATAATGAATTGAATTGCATTTGTTTTAGTTGCAATTTGTCATCCGCATCGTGATCGCGACAGCGCTATACGAAAAAATAAGACGGCGATAATTACATGTCTATGAATGAATTTTTACTACGCCGCTACCGCAAGCGATTATGGCATTTAGGGTGACAGAGCGGGTATTTCCGCGAGTGTACCTACCCAAACCAATTCTGGAATACCTACTTACTACAGTTACTCAGTTCCAAACTTTCATAGATATATAAAAAGCCCTTTCAATGCTTACATTGAAAACACAAGTAAATAAATAACCATGGCTATGTAAAAAATAAATAACATATGATTACAACGATTACATTTTGAATAGGACTACTTTTTATATTTTATTAATAACACAAAATGAGTCGATTAGTTTCAAAGGTTGATAGGAACAATTATGCATGCATATCATTTTTATTAATTTATCTACTACAATACTCTTTACGTAACAGCTTTTTCTTATTATTGGTATAAACGGAGCATGTCGAACTAATGAACTAACACAACATTCAGATGACTTGCTATTAATTAATTTAGACAAAAAGAAACCGCAACTTCGTAATTCGCAAAGGAATACGTCACAATTGTTGAGAAATATCAAGCCTTACGCCTGCCTACACTACAACCGATAGATTTTTTCTACAATATCGCAACAAAATAGTGTGTCAGCCAGCTTATGGGTGCTAATAAAATTGGCGGTATCCCACGAAGCAGAAAAGTTGCTATTTTCTTGAACTTCCAGTTGAACCCCCCGTTGTACACGGTTCACTGAAACTTCAGCCACACTTTTGGCCGATTCAGGAGCTGATCTCCTGTCCCTTAAGCGCCATGGAGGCTGGAAGTCCAATGCGATTGTAGAAGGATACATAGAGGATTCCATCCAAAATTAGTCTAAAATATGTAAAGGTATCGTAGGAGCCATTACACTGAAAGAGCCTCAGTCAAATCCTTGGACTGGGTCTTCTACATCAAAAATGACCCCTTACGAAACACCTAACCTTCGCCCTCTTTCGCCAACATTTACGCCAAGGGAATCCGATTAAACGGTACAACAATTAAGCATAACAGATAGTTTTCCATAATACAGTACAAAATTCGCTAACAACAACATTACAGTACCTAACACAAATACAACGTTACTTTATTTTTTTTCTTTATTTATTATTTGTTATAATTTAAAGATTATTCTGTAATACTTACCTATCATATTGTAGTAGTTAATACCAAAACTGAAATAAAATCATATTGTGATTGTAATTAGTTTTTTGTTTGTATTAAGTAAGTCATTTCCTCGCTGAGGTGGGATGAAAAGTTACGTGTTGCATTCGAGTGCAGATTTTTCACCTCGTGCTCTTTTGATTCTCTCGCTAACGTTCAGAATTTAAATTTATTGAATCACTCGCTCCGCTCGTCACTTGTATAATGCGATTCAACTAAGATTAGGACCGACTGGGCGCCATATTGTGATGTCATAGCTGTCAATTCAAACCAAATAGGTAGAGTGAGCAAAAAAAAGTTTTTATTTAATAAAACTTATTTGAGAAAAATTAGATTAGATTGAGAAAAAAAAACACCGATTTTTAATAATATTTATTTATTGAGACTGTGAGAAAAAACATTAATCAGAATCTAGCTCTTCTATTCCGCTTATCTCTGCATTCGAACATACGAACATGCATCCTTTATGTAAACGTAAGTTTGAAATCGAGTTTCTGAACGCAACTTAAAGTGACATTTGGTTGAAGATTTAGGTTATCAACCATTCATGGCCAAAGCTCAATAAGTGAAAAAAAATATATATCAACTATCAATATTATATATATATTAATTATCAATATTTTTTATTGTTTGTTTAGAAATGTTAGGTTTTTATTCTTGAATTAGCGGAGAGCTAAAAAAGGGTTCCAAGATTTTTTTTGCAAACCGTACTTTTCAAGCGACATTTGACAGACAGAGTTCATTGGCTTTCCTATTCTTATTTGAATCGCATTATAACAAATAACTATTATAAAATTTCGCACAGCCTATTTTTTTCAGAGAAATTACTTGAATTAATTTTGTCGTTGCGTGAAAATATATATCCTACAATTAGTTTCTAAGCTTTGTACGAGGTATTTATCACTTCTCGTCTTTATTTTTAGCATATTACCTCGCGGACGTTGGGTACGATGTGTGGTTAGCAAACCTGCGCGGCAACTTTTACACGTCCCATACAAAGTTAACCAGGAAGGACCCTGCATTTTGGGATTACAGGTATTTATTTAGTTTTCAGTTTAGTTTTAGTTTTGATTCGATGGCGCAGGTGGTTAGCGCGTTCGGCTGCGATCGTTGAAGTTAAGCAACTGTCGCAGTGGTCGGTCATTGGATGGGTGACCAAAAAGGGGATTGGGTAATTTTGTATGGAGGTTGGCTTGATTTTTTTTTACAGCGGCCACTGAACTAATTATGATTGTTTGATAGTACTATATATGTGAATTGTTCTTAGCAAAGTAGTAGTTCCATAACTAATATCGGAACCAAGATATTTGATCTTGAATTCTAACAAAAGGCATATGATATAAAAGCTCATTAAATAATCTCCTGAGATTATTTTACATGTTTAGTATTGTGGTAACGCTTTCTAAAAGCTAACATTAATGAAAAAAAAAAGAAACAGATCAAAAACTTGATCCAGAGTACCTAGAGTACCTACCTGGGCCGCGCGCGGTAGCATTGGTGCTCGATGACGCCGGTAAGTTCTTTGAAAGAATTCTGGCGGGGCGTAACATCGAGCAACGGGAGCCGGACCCAAATCTGGCAGAGCACCAGTTCGGGTTCCGGCGAAACCGGTCCACGGTGGAGGCGGTGGCCCTTTTGAAGGGGTGGACCGAGGCGGTCCATGTCGGGGAGAGACTGCTATTGTGGTGTAGCTAGACATCCGCAACGCCTTTAACAGTCTTCCCCCAAAATAATACCTGCTTTCATATTTGACAAAAAGTACAGAATACATAAATAAATAAATAAATAAATAAATATTTCCAACACTCACACCAATTAGCCTAGCCCCAAAGTAAGCACTATAAGGCTTGTGTTATGGGATACTAGGGTAACGGATAGAATACATATACTTTACTTATATAAGTATATTTATATAGAAAATACATATTAAACATCCATGACTGGAGTACAAATGCTCGTGTTCATCACACAAACATCTGCCCCCACCGGGATTCGAACCCGGGACCTCTCGAGTCGGCGACGCCATGAAACCCGGCGTACAAACCACTCGGCCACGGAGGTCGTCAAATACATCTACTGGATGACAACGATCCCAAGGTAACACACAAGGCTCTCATTATCTACATCAAAACATCATCGGGCACGGGCGCGGGTGTTTTCTCTGAGGACCTCAATATACATATCGCTTTCACCTTAAGCCCGTACAACACAGTTTTTCAAGCTGAATGTATGCGCATCATACTGGCGGCAAAGGGCGATCTTTTCAAGAAAGGTAACAGGACAGGAAATACGAATACTGTCCGACAGCAAATCAGTCCTACAAGTTCTAGATGCCTGTTTAGTCAAATCGAGCCTCCTGCAAGAATGCCACCAAACCCTAAACACAATAGGGTAAAGCAATTCTATTACTATCCAATAGATTAAGGGACACAGCGGATCACGCAGAAATGACGCTGCGGATGAACTGGCCCGGAAGGGGTCCGATTAGACCCCAACAGGTCCCGAACCAATCGTCCCGATACCGTTAAGCTGTATCGTAAATAAAATCTGCGAGCACACAGCCGCACTACACCAGCAACTCTGGTTCGATCTGGAGACGTGCAGGCAGACCAAGCTCGCTTTGCCACGGGTGAACGCTGTCCTCTCCAAAACTCTTCTACAGCTAAGCAAACCTACATTGCGCATGGTAAGAGGTACTATTACCGGACATGCACACTTTAACAAACATCTTTTTAACTTACTTGTCACGGACAACCCTCTATGCAGAGGATGCATGGAGGCAGAAGAAACAGCTACTCACGTTCTGCTGGAATGCAACGGAGTGACCGAATACCGGGCGAAATACCTCGGCTCACCGGGAAACTTCCAAGAGGCAGTCACCAATGTGAAGGCCCTGGGGGCGTTCCTGATGGAGCTGGGCTGGCTGGAGTAATTCTGGCTATACACCCTCCTAACACAAAACAGGCGCCATAAGGACGTCGAGTTGCGGAAACGCCTGTTGAAAGAAGAAGAGAACAATCTCCCCCACGAGTGTATTGGCAGGCACTGCGTTTTCACTGCGTGCCTCCATACCTGCGAGCCATCGTGGAGGACTACCTGCAGGAGAGGTCAGTTTTTTACGAGGGGCCCGATGGAAGCGCTCTCGGCCATGGCTGCAGGGGTACCCCAGGGGTCAGTGCTGGGTCCACTGCCTTGGAACCTGGGGTATAACTGGGTGCTGCGAGGCAGCCTCCTTCCCAGCATGGAGGTTGTCTGCTTCGCCGACGACACCATGGTGGCGGCGAAGGCAAAGTCGGTATAGGAGGCGGTTTGCCTGGTCGGCACTGCGCTAAGCCGGTGCGGCGGCCTCTTTTCCGCATAGTGCAGATACTGACCGGACACGGATGCTTCGGTTACTACCTGTACCGTATCGCCCGCCGGTAAGAAACGCCGCAATGCCATCATTGCGGCGCCCCGGACGATACTACCGAGCAAACCTTGTTGGAGTGCTCGGTTACAGCAGCGCTGCGACCTAATCGCGGCGCTGGGAGGCGGAGCCTTCTCGCTTAGGAGCACGGTAGAGGCCATGCTCAGTAGCGAGACGGCATGGAAGGCGGCTGCCTCCTTCTGCAAGAACGTCATCTCGTAGAATGAGGCAACCGAGAGCGAGCGGGAGGATGATCCCCTGGCCGCTCCCTCCCGCCGAAGAAGAGCGGGCAGGAGAGGACGAGTGTGCGCCCGTCCCATGACCCTGCCCGTGGGGATCCCGAGCTGGCTACACTGGCATATATATAGAGTTGACATGATCTTCACATATACGAGACCCAAGTGGAATATCGAAAGACTGATGTGATTGGCTGAAGCAGTCAGACCAGACAGAAAAGGGTCTGTTAAACCGTTATTAACTTAAATGCTATGTTTTAGACAACAATTCATACAAAAAAGCACATAAGATTTAATGATATGAATTTACGATTATTCTATTTTAAAAAAATCATATCTTGGCTTCGATGTACTTTACAGATATATGGCCATAATATTTTATTTTTAATATTTTTAGTTCTATTCAATAAAAAAAAACATTCGTGGCCGCAGACTTTGAAAATCAAGCCACTTTTACCCAAACCCCTTTACTATCTCGACCTCCTCCGTACTTCGGAAGGCACGTTAAGCCGTTAGTCAGCACCCACCAATCCGCACTGGGCCCGCGTGGTCGGTCATGGCCCTATCTTCCTATTCCATCCATAGGGAAGGCCTGTGCCCCATCAGTGGGGACATTAATAGGCTGATGATGATGATGATAATTTAGTTTTCATCAACTTTCTTTGTCGCTGTCCACATGTTATCAATTCACAATCAAAATGTAAGATGGATGCTATACTTGTAAAATCATAGTTTATTACATATCACCATCCTATCATCTTCCTTATCAGCCGATGGACGTCCACCTCTGTACATAGTACATACATCAATGTTCTTAATTTCTACGAATTTCCATTAAACCCGCTAGCTACTGCACCATCGAGCTCCTAGCCCTATCCCCGTTTGGTAGATACCCAAAATATAATCAAACATTGTTATGTTTGATATATTTTGGGTATCTACCAAACGGGTCTTATTTTGAATTAGGTAGGTACACTAATGTTCCACTGTATTATGTTTGTGTTACGGTCAGGGCTTGAAACCGGTTTCGAAAATACCGGTAAATAACGGTTAATACCGGTTTTTAGTAAAGGTTTCGTTCGGAGTGCGTCCGAAATAAAAGCGGTACCTAAAACCTTAATAAACCGGTTTAATCCAGAGCGACACGTGCACGCGTCGGCATCGCTTGAAGTTTGTTTGGTTTGAACTAATCAAGTCACAACTTGTTCATGCTCAGAGATTGATGCATTTATTGTCACGTTTGCTAGCATCTAGTGAGTCACGTTATTCATTTATTATCGATGCCGTCAAAAAGAGCGAAATGAAACCCTTTAAAAATCGCTAAATTGATTCAAAACCGGTTTTTTAAGGTTAAGGTAGAACCAAACCTAAATAAAACGCTCCTAATGTACTTGACACTGATTTAGGTTTGAAAATTAACCGGTAAACAAGCCCTGGCTCACGGTAAGGTCCATTCTCCCATATGGTTCTGTCAATAGTAAAGTTCTGTACTCCGGCAATGGAGAAATTTTTAAACTAAACTGGTACGGGACTGGACCCTCGTATGACTCGTTCCTTAACAGTGGCAACATAATATGCTATGGCTGAAGGGATAACAATAACTGAAGTTATGTATATTTATGTTTACAGTTTCGATGAGCACGGAAAGTACGACGCTCCAGTAATCATAGACAAAATCCTGGAGGAGACTGGACTCTCGCGGGTCTTGTACATCGGCCACTCTATGGGTTGTACGACTTTTCTAACAATGTTGGCGCAGCGGCCAGAGTACAATGACAAGCTGGTAGCTTTCGTAGGATTGGGGCCAGCCGCGTATCTCAACAATATCCAAGGCTACGTCCACTTTCTTCTGAACAACCTAAACTTGCGTGTTAGTATTAAAAAAAACCAGTGTGCTTATGACCACACGACCGAAGGGAAACTTCTTTACGCACGCTTGACTTGGGGGAGTAAGCTGGCGAATACGTTACGCCTTACGAAAAGTGTGTTCGGGTGAGGAGAACAGGACTTGAGTGGGGGATATAAGTAAGAGCATATGAGTAAGCAGTGCGCACGCGCATATTTTCTTTCTCTCTTTCTCATATAGCTAGTAAATGAAATATGTATATGTACATACACGTTTCACTTCAGTCGTGTGGTCATAAGTACAATCCCTATTTTTTTCACATTCCCGGTGGGCCAGCAGGTACTCTATACAATCCCTAGGAATTGTATACATTATCTAGACAAAGTATAAAATGGAAAATAATATTTATAATAATATTCCATACATTGCCTAGACGCCCCAAGGTAATCTATACATTGCCTACATATTGTATAGAATACTTGCATTATGCAGATTGCTGGTGACATATACAGGGCGTCCCACGAGTTTGTCACACGGAGGGAAAGTATATTAAATAAAGAAGATAGGATATTTTACTGAAAGTATTCATCCTTTAATTTTTAATAATAATTAGAACTGCAATCACAGATTTTTAAAAAAAAATCACATGACGTATTTTATGATAACAATAGAAAGGGTTAATCTTAAGGATTATTTTCCCTAAATTACATAGCATTTTAAAATGAAAGGAAAATCATGACATTAAAATTTTGATCAGAAAAATTTCCTGTTACTTTTCCGTGCTTCTAACAGTTAACTTTATCATTTCAAAGTATTTACTGACTAATACCTGCTCACTGAATAATACAGGATTTCCTTACTATAAGGAAGGTAAGTACGTGAAAAAATAATAAAGCGATACTTATACAAACCTTGCACCGGTTCTTTTTTATTGTAGTTTATGTGTATGGGCGACTGCCCTGACAATGTATAACTACTGTACTTAGTAATATTATGGTAAACGGCTGAATATTCATAATTTCTATGAAAAAAGACTCAAAACTTTTGATAAAGTCACAATGTTGAAAAAATTATGAGTACTCCTACTATGTCATTACCTTACTATAATTGATAAAAGATGTTGCCAATTATTTATAGAGTCATCAATTTCGCATTTTCTTAGAATCTTTCTTCCTATTTCTTTGATTAACTCTTCATACAAAAGTTTTTTTAAAGCAAAAATAAATACAAATAATTTATTATCGTCGGCCTGACAGGAAATTTGTGAAGTTTTATTTTGTCCATTTGCAAAAATTAAAGGATTAATTATCATACAGCCTTGTCTCAAGCCTGATCAGAGTAATAAAATGTATTATTTTAGGCCTTCAGTGATTTATTATAATAAATCTTAGGGCCAAATATTAATAAATATTTAATTATTTCACGAAAGTTGTATGAGAATATTAAACACGTAATAATTAATAAAAAAATATTGTAAAGTTACGGGCTAGTGCGAAATATTTATACACGTTAAGGGCAGTTTCTTAGCCATGTCCTTTCGTGATTTTTCTTTCATTTAAAATGCTATGTTATTTAGGAAAAAATAATCTAGTGATTCTCCTCATGATTAACCCTTTGGTCGGTTCTCTGCAAATACATGTGTTTTTTTGTTTCACATATTACGAGTCTGATTCCCGGTTTTGGCAAGCAATTTTTCAAAAAACTGTGAATGTAGTTCTACTTATTATCTCTTATCTATTAGACAAGTCCGTCCGTCCGTCCGTCTGTGGTGCTGTTTCAGCGGCCAAACCGTAAGAGATAGATAAAGAGAATGTTTAAGTTATAAGTTAAGAATAGTCTGATAAGACTACAAACCGGATTTGAGTAACGTAGCACTTCCGGTTTTCGAGAAATCACGAATTTCAAACGAAACCACACGAAATCTCCGAAGTTCTCAATTAATTAAATACATTTTTTTTTTTGGTGAACATTTGGTTCACTGGTTTGCTAGTTAAAATAAAAATAAAATGATGTCTTCTTTCAGTAAAATATCCAATCTTCAATATTTAATATACTTTCCCTCCGTGTGACAAACCCGTGGGACGCCCTGTATATTGGAAGTTCTCTACGAAAAATTTATTAAAATCATAAAATGTCGAAATGTTACGAGCGCATCAAACAGTATCGAAGTGGGATTTAATGCTTATTTTATTCTTACACTAGATGACCCGGCTGTCTGTTTGAACATAATTATGCATAGAACTTTTAAAGGGGAACAACCGTCATACATGATTTTTGATCTTTAACTATTTACGCAGCGCACGCAACGGAAACGCTGCAATGAAATGTTTTTTTCCGTTTTCGTAACATTGTTCAGGGATGCTCCACTCCTACCCGTCGTAGCGTGATAATATATATATAAAGGCACGTACCAACACAAAAAATATTTTTATTTTAAATCGGACCAGTTGTTCCCAAGATTAGCGTTCAACCAAACAAACAAACACAAACTCTTCAGCTTTATAATATAACTAGCCGTGCCCCGCGGTTTCACCCGCGTTTTTCTCGTTTCCGTGGAAATACCGAGATAAAATATATAGGTACCAACTCTTAACATCTTACACACGTGATTACTTTTAAACGAAATATGCTATTGAGATGAAACAAAAAGTATTTTACTTCTACATAAATACTCTTGATAACATAATGCTTAATTTCGATAAAGATTAATATTACGATACATATTTAACGTAGTTTTTTTTTCTTCAGACGCTTTAATAATTATTTTGAACACAAAATCGGTTATTGTGATTAAACCATGATAGGTAGATATAGATAGATAGATAGATAGATAGATAAATCATTTATTCCCATCAGTACAGCACACAAATTCAAGTACAAAATAGAACAATTAAATACTAGGTATGTAACTGTGTGCCGCAACGACAGAAAAAGGCAAAAACTCAGCGATACCTTTGCTCTAAGAGCAAAGCACTGGTTTTCAGTTCTGCCTAGAAAGCGCGTAACGTGAAACGACATCGACGTGACGTGATTAATTTATTATTAGGAGAATTAAATTAGATTATATTTTTATTAAATTAAAAAGATTATTAAATTATTATTGATAAGTTATTATAATATAACTATATATAATATTATCATTCACCAAAAAATATTAATTATTACTGTTGTTATTACTTTTTAGTATTTAGATTAATATTGAATTTCTGAATTAATATTTACCCATCAGAATTTAACACACACAAATTGTGACACACCTATTAGAAAGTGGTAGAAACCGCTACCATACGACCACATGTGGTTATTCCTAACCTTTGCATTTCTAGTAAAATTAATTTTATATGCTTTTTAAATGTTTGGCGCGATATGATCCGCCTTAGTGGAGGTGGAATGTTGTTCCAGCACCTGGTCGCCTGATAGCGGAAACTACCCTTAAACGCCTGCGTTTTATGATTCTGAGTCGATAAAGGTGGCTTTGCCTGTCTTGGTTGCCTGTCAGCGTCATAACGTAGTGTCGCAGTAGGGAATTTTAATTTCTCATATAAATAACTTGGACTCTTGAATTTCATGATGTCAAACATTAAAACTGCTAGATGTAAACGCCTACGCGATTCCATATTCAACATCGAAGCCCTATTTATGAAAGGTGATATATGAGTACGTGGTGGGACATTAAAACAGAAACGACAGCAGGCATTCTGAATCCGCTGCAGTAACCTTCTACTCCCACTTAACAGCCGGGGGCCGTACACAAGATCACCATAATTTAATCTTGAGAGTATCAGTGTTTCACAGAGGGTAATGCGAGCTTTTTCCGACAGTAGGCCACGTATCCTATAGAGAACTTTTAAGCGATAAAAACAACTCTTCACTAGGCCTAATACGTGAGACTCAAAACGCAACTGGCTGTCAAAAGCAACTCCAAGATTCCTGGCCTCACTGACTCTCTCCACAACTTCGCCACAGACTCTGACACCAACAGCACTGTCTGAGACCCTATCTAATTGTTTACTCGTGCCGAGCACCATAAATTTTGATTTTCGTGGGTTTAGAACTAAAGCATTAGCAGCAGACCAGGCAGCCACCGCATCCAAATCCATATTGAGCTCACAAATCGCATCCCTTATAGTGTTTGGCGTTTTGGACACGTATAACTGCACATCATCAGCGTAACAATGATACTTGCAGTGTCTTATAGCAGTAGGTAAGTCAGCAACATATATAAGAAAGAGTAAAGGCCCAAGTATAGACCCCTGAGGGACACCGCGTCTTACAAGCTCTAAACCTGAAGTCAAAAAAGACCCATCCTCTTTGCGGAGTCTTACCGCTTGTCGTCGGTCACTGAGATAACTATTGAACCATCTGACTGTTTCGGCGTCGCATCCATAAAATGATAGTTTCGATAACAGGAGGGGTATACTGAGACAATCAAATGCGCGAGAAAAGTCAAGTAGCGCTAGAAGCGTGACATTTCCCGTATCCTGTTCCACAAGTATGTTATCCGTAACATCCAACAACGCTGTTACTGTCCCACGGCCCTTACGAAACCCCGATTGAAGTCTTGGGAGAATGTTGTTCTCTTCCACATACCGAATAAGCTGACCATAAACGACCTTTTCTAAAATTTTTGACATGAAGGGCAATATACTTATAGGTCTGAGGTCTTTAAATTCACACGGTGACTCGACTTTTGGTACCGGTGTAACGAGTGAAGTCTTCCACTGAGAGGGAACAGTACAAGTAATTATAGATTTATTTATAATTTCAGTAATGACCGACAATGTGCGTGGCAAGGTTAACAATATCATGTCCCTACTAATTTCATCACAACCAGTAGCATTCGATTTTACAGCTAATATATATTTAGAAACCTCAGTTTCGTTTACAGTATGGAGCTTAAAGGGCGGTGATAAATGAAGGTGCCGATGGTATTCGTAATATGTCAGTCGCGAGATTGGCACTGTCTCCGAGCCTGGCAGGTTTAAGAAATACCTATTTATTGCATCAGGGTCTACAAAACAATCCGGGAGGCACTCGTTCTTTCCATCACTAGGCAATATTTTTTGTTTTATGTTTCTCCAAAATAGCTTAGGGTTATCTATGTTTGAATTAATGTAATGGTTAAAGAAAGCACGTTTTTCATTTCTAATTCCAATAGTGACTGCATTTTTCATTTCCTTATAATGCTGCTTATGTGCATCTGATTTTGTCTTGCGATACCTCGAATGAGCTTTCTCTCGTATATCAGTCATTAACTTGATCGTGTCTGTTATCCAAGGCAGACTCTGTTTTGACCGATCTTTAGTCCTAATAGTTGGAGCGTGCTTGTTTAAAACCGTTAATAGTAAATTATTAAACCGATCAACCATACTCTCCACCGTTGGTAAACTAGATAAAGACTCCCAATCGATAGCATTAACGTCGGCATTGAGTTGATCAAGTTTTATACTTTTCAAAGGTCGGTAAGTGTAAAATTTTGGCGGGACCTTTAGCTTCTTTAACGTAAGGCTAACATTTATCATTTCATGTCCCAGGGTGCCAGTAATGTTTGTGTTCGAAATTTCCCTAATTTCACAATTAGTACAAATAAGATCAATAAGAGTATCAGAATTGTATGAGTGATGGGTCGGATCCTGTACAATTTGTTTGAGATCGAGGCACTGCAAAAAGTCGAGCACTTTCGATACACAACTACTTGGAGCATCAAGCATATTAACATTGAAGTCACCCATAAGTACAATGTAATCGTAGTTTGAAAATCCTGAGATGGATTCCGTATATATGTTCTCGCGGACTTTTTTGTAGCTACAAACCCGTAGTACATCATTTTGTTCTATTGTCAATAGTTTTTGCAGCGCATGCAAAAATAGGTTTTCGATTTTACACCTTGTGTTACAAAATAGCAATTTTATTACGGAACCCTAATTTTGAAAAAAAAATAGCCTATAGCCTTCCTCGATAAATGGACTACCCAACACTGAAAGAATCATTCAAATTGGACCAGTAGTTCCAGAGATTAGCGCGTTCAAACAAACAAACTCTGCAGCTTTATAATATTAGTAAGTATAGATTTATATTAATAATAAAGATTAAGCGAGTTTGTGCTACGTGATAAATTACAGATATTCTTACCTAAATTGGACATCGGAGCGATAATAATTCCTCGGAAGGTTCTGGAATTCACAAGTAAATTCTGTGCACCAGAGTATAATATGGACCTATGCTTGAAGTATCTTTATTCTCTCATCGGTGAAGACTACGAGCAAAATGCACCGGTAAATAAGGTTTTTTCCCCACCTCTTTACTTTACATCCTCTTAGCTGGAGGTAGCGGCTAACTTCTTGAATTTAAACCATAGAGAAAATAGGGAATTTTGCGCAGCAGACGTTTTCCTGATGATGATGATGATTGAGGAGCTCGATGGCGCAGAGGAGCTCGATGGCGCAAGTGGTTAGCGCATTCGGCTGCGATCGTTGAAGTTAAGCAACTTTCGCAGTGGTCGGTCATTGGATGGGTGACCAAATATTTACTATCTTGAGTTCCTCCGTGCTTCGGAAGGCACGTTAAGCCGTTGGTCCCGTCTGCATCTGCAGTCGTTAGCACCCGCCAATCCGCACTGGGCCCGCGTGGTGGGTCATGGCCCAATCTCCCTATTCCATCCATCCTATTATACATATTACATAGTTTATTCGAAATGTCAATAAGCGATAAATATAAGATTGGAATTATTTCATGCATGTCATTTTCTATATTTAGTCTAAAAACTTTTGTCTTCCAAAAATTCACGGACCGTATAGTAACATTTTTCTATTAAAAAATGTTGTAATTTGTTTTTAAATATATTGGTCACGGTAATTTCTCGCACACTTTCAGGTAATTTACTAAAAATATAAGGAGCATTGCAAAACACACTTTTCCTAAATAGTGCCCGTATTACAGGGGACTACACAAAGTTTTCCAATATGACGTTCACGAATTCTGGCCTTAAATATTTTAATATAAGGCCCTATTTTTTACAAAGACAGCGCATTCAAAAATGTAAAGGCACGGCAGAGTCAATATTTTTAACCTCTTATGAGCCCTTTTAGTACAGTCAATCTGTCGAAAAAAATATCGTTTCAGTGAAAAAGAAACCTAAAGGGTAAGTCTTGTTTTTTTCTGTTACCAAATGACGTCAGCAAGCCACCTTGGCGATGGGCATGTTCAACTCGTAGGCGTTGCACATTTCAATGTACGTTTTACTATTTTTTATTTTTTTTCATGATTGAAAATGCAAATGTGTACTTGAACTGCCCAAAACCGCTCTATTGGATTTTTCATACCTGCGCAATTTATAACTTGAAAACGGTAAGTAATACAAAAAAAATGTTTATACAAAAGTTGTTGGTAATTATGTACGGAACAATTTTTGCATTTAAAGTTTTCCATTAAAATGATATTTTCAGGGTGAAAAAGTGAAAAAACACTTTATTTGAGACTTTAGCGCCACCTACAATGCGCATTTTTTGATGTACGAGATTGCAACAATGACATAAATTGTAGTACCCAACGCCCTCTACAATTATGGTCGAAAAAAAGTTTCTAAAATGCATAAAAAACAAGAAAAATGCGTTTCAAAAAAATTTTGAGATTTTTTTGAGTTTTTCAAAAAACGCCTACGAGTTGAACATGACCATCGCCAAGGTGGCTTACTGACGTCATTTGTCAACAGAAAAAACAAGACTTACCCTTTAGGTTTTTTTTTTCACCACTCAACCTCAAAACAACCAACCATTGACTGTACTATTTTACAAAATTGCACCGCCGCCGTACTAATCGGCGCGTAGGTAGATTTGAACTAGTATATATTGCATTTTACGGATGATGTTTCGAGTCTTATAAAATCATTACTATTGAACTAATTATAAAAATATATACATATTTCAGTAGTTCAATGATCATCATCAGCCTATTAATGTCCCCACTGCTGGGGCACAGGCCTTCCCTATGGATGGAATAGGGAGATTGGGCCATGACCCACCACGCGGGCCCAGTGCGGATTGGTGGGTGCTACAGATGCAGCCGGGACCAACGGCTTAACGTGCCTTCCGAAGCACGGAGGAGCTCGAGATAGTAAATTTTTGGTCACCCATCCAATGACCGACCACTGCGAAAGTTGCTTAACTTCAACGATCGCAGCCGAACGCGCTAGCCACCTGCGCCATCGAGCTCCTCGTTCAGTTCAATGATGGTAGATTAGTTTTATGAAAGTTTTTGATAGTAATTCTATTTAATTCAATATCAAAATACGAGATAAACCTGCATTATTTTTAGGGAAAACTCACGGAGGTTAGAAGTTTTTTTGATAATTAATGAGATAGAAAATCAAAATTCTAATACATTATGTTACAACAAAAACATATTTCTGATGTCGTAGTAATTAATTTGATCTAATTTAATGAACATTATTGAGAGATTCAGGCGTTTGAATTTGTGCATATTATCGTTTTTTCTGTAAACTAGTTGCAGTAGAACGATCAGTACAAAAACAGGAAAATAGTATTTGCAAATATTCTACATTAACTTTCAATGGGCAGAATAATTCTACTGTTCTAAATTCTATTGGAAATATTCAAAATCTTTTCTAAGGGGGTAAGGTAAATAAGGCGCTCAAAAATTACGATTTTTTGCAAAAAATGTGAAAGGGCTCTTAAAAAACGGTGCACATGATTCTGTTGGTGGTAGATTAAACATAGCTCTGATGCATCTCTTTTGCACCCTGAATGCAGTGGTTGCGTCAGTAGAATTTCCCCAAAAGGTCAATCCATATCCTAATATCGGCGCTGCTTTCCCATAATACGCCGTCAACAAAGTTTTTGTATGTAAAATTGCCATTTTTTTTTTGCATGAAACATAGTTTGTTACAGCTGGTAAATAATAGAAAAAGTTCCATATGTACTTCGCAGACTGCGTGTTGTCTGTAAACACTGTGATTTTGCTCAAGAAGTTTACCGCTGCCTCTAAGTACTATATGAACTGAATAGACTTAGGCAAATTATCTCTTATCTATTAGACAAGTCCGTCCGTCCGTCTGTGGTGCTGTTTCAGCGGCCAAACCGTAAGAGATAGATAAAGAGAATGTTTAAGTTATAAGTTAAGAATAGTCTGATAAGACTACAAACCGGATTTCAGTAACGTAGCACTTCCGGTTTTCGAGAAATCACGAATTTCAAATGAAACCACACAAAATCTCCGAAGTTCTCAATTAATTAAATACATTTTTTTTAAATCATGTTTTGGTGAACATTTGGTTCACTGGTTTGCTAGTTTCTACTATTCTCATTTCATCAGTCTAAGGGTAGCTCCGCACACAATCGAGCTGGCATAGTCGACTTATCGATTTTACCGCCCGGCTGTGTCGATTAATGCCAGCTCGATCATGTGTGTGGCTTCCCTAACATCCGTGTCTGCTTTGTATTAGGATAAGTTGAAAGATGCAATATTGAGATTTCAACCGGCATCTACTCGACAGCTTCTGCACTTCGCAAAGATAAGTATCACAGGTAAACCCGATTAAATTGAAAATCAATTTACTAAAAAAAACACTAATAAATTGATATATCAGTCTTTATAAATTTAAAGTAATTTTTATTAGATAAAAATCCATTCGGCCCAGGCATGAGACGGGGTTCGGAATCGCATTTTCCGCTATCCGGGCATTCGAATCTTTTTTTTTCTAAATGGCTTCGCACGGCTTGTGCATTTAGCCAATGTCAAGTGTTAGATGTAGGTATACAAATACTATAGCACTCGTGGTCAAAGTAATAAGTCAAGTCAAAGTAAGTGGCAGTCAAGTCAATCCCCCTTTCCCCATGTTTCAGTAAATGTGTGGGGATTTACTGGAACCTCCCCGTGGACCTCTTGAGGGAACGTCGAAAGACACTCTCCGCTATTTTGTTTCACTTGCCAACACTTGTGCATGTTTCCGAACACTTAGTGGTTAATAATCCACCATTATTAGACACTAACATCCGCCACAACACAATTTTTAACAAGAAAAACAAAACTGCTAAAGTGTCGCTTCCCGATCCCGCCAAAAAGTCCCATTCGAATCTTTATCCGTGCATTTTCCGCACAGATAGCGGGTATCCGCATAACTTATAATTATGGTTAAAAAAAAAATTATTTCTCTGTTTTTTCTTTTAATTGCAACTATCTTAATTTTGCGGAAATCTAAATATGCTAAATTCGGCATGCACTTTGCCAATTTTATTATTGGTATAAATATTTACATGATCTTAAAAAAAAATGTAAATTATCACCTTAAAAATACTTAACCTTCATTGAATTTATTTTGTTTATATTTCAATTAAAGTTAATCAACATTTTGTTAAGTTTATTTTAAATCTAAAGAAAATATAACTAGAAAAAATCCACGCGGACCAGGCAGCAGACGGGATTCGAACCCGCACCCTTCGCAATCCGGGCGAATGCACTGACCAATTATGCTACCACGGCCCTCACGGACCGCGTCGAAATTCTTCTAGCCATTCTTAAGCTGCAAGGCAGCGCCATCTCTTCGCATTATAGGTAACCCACAATGTCAAATGAATACTTTTACAAGTATTAAACATTTGAAAGGACTTTTTGGCGGGATCGGACAGCGTCACTTTAGCAGTTTTGTTTTACTTGTTAAAAATTGTGTTGTGGCGGATATTAGTATCTAATAATGGTGGATTATTAACCACTAAGTGTTCGGGAACATGTGTTGGCAAGTGAAACAAAATAGCGGAAAGTGTCTCTCGACGTTCCCTCAAGAAGTCCACGGAGAGATTCCAGTAAATCCCCAAACATTTACTGAAACACAGGAAAAGGGGGATTGACTTGACTGCCACTTACTTTGACTTGATATAATACTTTGACCACGAGTGCTATAGAATTTGTAAACATTTTTAACACTTGACATTGGCTAAATGCACAAGCCGTGCGAAGCCATTGAGGAAAAAAAAATCATTTGAAAGAAGAAATAGCAATTATAGTTATAATTTTTTATTTTTTTTAAAGCATGTAACTTAAAAGCTTGATGTTTAAATCTAAAGAAAATATAACTAGAAAAAATTCCACGCGGACCAGGCAGGACCATTGTGGGTTACCTATAATGCGAAGAGATGGTGCTGCCTTGCAGCTTAAGAATGGTTAGAAGAATTTTGACGCGGTCCGTGAGGGCCGTGGTAGCATAATTGGTCAGTGCATTCGCCCGGATTGCGAAGGGTGCGGGTTCGAGTCCCGTCTGCTGCCTGGTCCGCGAGGAATTTTTTCTAGTTATATTTTCTTTAGATTTAAACATCAAGCAGTTACATACTTTAAAAAAAACATATAAAGTTATTTTAAGCAATTCATTTTAAGCTGTTCGAGTCCCGTCTGCTTCCTGGACCACGTGGATTTTTTTCCAGTAATTTCCTCTCTAGGTTTGTGATACACTGATAATTATAGAGGTAATATAATGGTTAATGGACATTGCACTGGACTTGGAATGGATTTTTTTTTAACACACACCAATTAGCCAAGCCCCAAAGTAAGCACTATAAGTCTTGTGTTAAGGGATACTAGGGTAACGGATAGAATACATATACTGTACATATATAAGTATATTTATATAGAAATACATATTAAACATCCATGACTGGAGTACAAATACTCGTATCCATCACACAAACATCTGCCCCCACCGGGATTCGAACCCGGGACCTCTCGAGTCGGCGACACCATGAAATCCGGCGTACAAACCACTCGGCCACGGAGGTCGTCGAAATTTTATTAAAATTTGAAATATGAACCTATTTTTCTTAGTGAACTATTTTATTGTGGTTTTATAGGAGTATTCACATCCTGGGAAGACGGCTTAGACGGAAGAGTGAAACCTTACAACTTGAGTAATATCAGGACACCCGTCTCAATATGGTATGGACAGAACGATCAACTAACTGAAATGTCTGTACGTATTAACAACTGTTATCAAACTTTCACCGTTATTTAACTTAGGTCTCTGACTGAGGCTTAAGTGCAGGCACTTAAGTGAAGATTCATGCTAAATATCATTCATACCCACCACAATATTCTTGTCTTTCGTTTCATTATAATGATATCTTTAATATAAATATCATTAAAAAAAATTTTTTTGAAGCATTTAACTGCTCTAGATGTTTAAATCTATAGAAAATATGACTAGAAAAAAATCCACGCGGACCAGGACTTTAATTGCTTTTTTTTTTAACTATAATTGCTATATCTTCTTTCAAATGTTTAATACTTGTAAAAGTATTCATTTGACATTGTGGGTTACCTATAATGCGAAGAGATGGCGCTGCCTTGCAGCTTAAGAATGGCTAGAGGAATTTCGACGCGGTCCGTGAGGGCCGCGGAAGCATAATGGGTCAGTGCATTGCGAAGGATTGCGAAGGGTGCGGGTTCGAGTCCCGTCTGCTGCCTGGTCCGCGTGGTTTTTTTTCTAGTCATATTATCTTTAGATATAAATACCATTTCCATGGGGACAATTCTCCCGCAGCAGACACATTTTTTTACATGAGCATGCGGAAAGTCCGCTATTACAGCACATGGACACTTGCACTGCAATGCCAGAGGCAGGCGCCTGCCTCACCGCGTCGGTGCGGGCTCGATTCCTTTTTCATTTCTTTTTTTTTTATTTTATTTGTAAAGGTACATTAAACAGCCAAAGGCCAGCAAAAATGTACACAGCTGAATAACATAAGTAAACCTTAGTTACCAAAAAGAAAACATATAAAGAAAAAAAACATTGATGAAACAGTCTTCAATCTTAGGTGATGAAACAAAGCGGGCGAAAGGAATGAAAACTTGATATTACCCGAGAAAAATCACTAATTGGGTACGAGTCTAAAAAACATTCATGTATCTGCAATCAACCAAATTAATAAAAACATGCATAAAATAAACAATAAATATGTATATGTATATATATATTTAAAAATTACAAGGGTAGTTTTTACGGGTTAATGCACGAAACTTTATTTATTTATTGACGTTTCGCAGCCTTTTCAGGTCTGCATCGTCAGAATAATGATTTTTTATTTAAACTTGTCGAGCTTCGAGAAATTATGCAAACAAAAAGATTTTTTTTTGTTTGCATAATTTAACATAAGAAGGAGATAGAAAGCCTCTCTTGAGTTAGTTTCGCCGGTTCTTCTCAGGAAGGTCTCCCAATTTTGGAACCGGTGGTAGTTTACGGTAGTTAGGGTCAAATAAATAAACTCAAAATTACAAACAAGAATTTTAAATAAAATACTTTATTAAGTAAATTAAATAATAAATTCATACATAGACAATAAAATTTTAAAAATCTTCCAATGAAATAACCGAACGCTCAATATAAGTCTTTCGAAGGTAGCTCGACAATTTTAAATAAAAAATCATTATTCTGACGATGCAGACCTGAAAAGGCTGCGAAACGTCAATAAATAAATAAAGTTTCGTGCATTAACCCGTAAAAACTAGTTTTATTTAATGAGTGATGTGCGTGAAAACCTAAGAAACAAATTACAAGGGTATTTGTTATTTATTTATTTGGGGATGGGGGACGTGGGACAGGGACGGGGGGGGGGGGGGTAAAGTGTCAACCTCAGATTATTCTGTACAGATTATTACTTTACCGAGTGCATGTTATTAAACACCTCTTTCTCTAATCGTTTTTATAGTTTTCTTGGACCATTTCTCTACAACAAACTAAATCGAAAATTGTCAATACATTTACTCATCAGATTCTGCTGCAAGAAGAAAGTCACCAATTTCCTGCAAAACCTAAACTATTTAGAAACGGAAAGCCTTATGAATTCTTGAATTACGAGTCCCACACGCCCCCTCCACACACACACACTAACAGACACATACGCACACAAACACGCACATAAACACCATACTCACAACCAGCACTACCATATACCATATCATGCAAAATAATATAAATGTGAAACTAGATTTTATCGTTGTTCTCCTTTTTTTTTTGCTTTCTTAGGCGGGGAGAGGCTGGTGCACAGGCGTCAGCTTAGTTTGGTCACCAGTCTCTAACAATCTTAGACCTAAGTTTTATAATTTGTTACTCATGAAGCATGTATAAGATTGTGGAGAGAAAATAAAGTTTATTATTATTATGTTATTAAATAAGAACGTCCTCGCAGAGTAGTTTCGGTACATATTCTTTACCTAGCGGATACACAAATCTCTGTACCGAGTGCTATCGAACTACTTGACTCGCCCGTCCCGTCACTCCCGCGAACAAAATCGTAGCACACAAAACGAAACGAATCCGCACCGAAACCGAGCCAGTCAAGAAGTGGTTCTCGGTAAACAATCTGTACAGATTCGGTACAGAAAAGAAAACGAAATGAGCTCACACCGACCGGGTGGGAAAGGCGCAGTACATTACGATTTCAACTTCAGCCGGTTGTGAAGTTATTCAGCCGGAAGCGGTTTTATTCCAAATACAGTATAATCTCACTAATCTGGCACTTCGATAGATCGGCACGTCCAATAATCCGGCACCCTCCGCCCATGCCTCCCTCGCCCCTCTTCTCTGCAAGAAAAAGTTTTTAAGCAAGGACTACAAGTTGCACAAAAGCAGACCTCAATTAAGGATTATTTTAAAGGAGATCCGGCACTTTTCATAGAAAAAATGCTAAACTTGTATACAGTTGAATTTGGTCTCAAAATAAAGCCAAAATATTTGCTACATAAAACTACTTTTGCCTTATTTTTAGTGAATCGTGGAAAGAAGTTATATAATGATTAATATTTTTTGATATGGAAACCCTATATCTTCAAGGGACAGAATTTTACTTCAAAATATTACTCAAGTGACTGTAAAAACCATGATTCCTTTTCTTTTTCTAAATAAAAAACCAAATGTCAATTTGACAATCCTAAAATACAAACAAAAAAATCCATTCGCATTTCGCATCCGCTCCCGCGTACTGTGATTGTGAATGTTCTCTGCTGTGATTGCCTTTTTATCCGTTATTTCTCTTGACGACCCGGCTACATAAAGAGGTTATATCGACAAACCTACGCATTTGACATTGACAACTAGCTGCTGATGACAAATATTGCCAGACTACGTTACCCAATTATGAAACACAGATAAAAAAATTAAAAAAGTATACATCTTTGGCACAAAATGCCTGGGTGTCCTTTAATTGTATGTAATTCCATATGTACTTGTTAAATTAATACATTACATAAATTTATTCCTTTTTCACTATAATCCAGAATCCGAACATTCCAATAATCCGGCACCCTCCGGTTTTTAATTGTGCCGGATTAGTGAGATTATGCTGTAGTCTCTTCCAGCGCTGTTCCGCTGTCAACTGGGTCATTGGTTGTTATTTATTTCTTTATTTTTATTTCTTTATTTTAATTAATTCCACTCCGGGAGCCTGTTGCTAGGATTCCTTCACAGTTGTGCTTTCCGATCAGATTGGAGTATCATAATATTTACTGTCTTCGGTGAAAACTGATCGGAGTGGACACTGGACAACTGGTTAACAATAATCTAAAATTTTTTTTGTAAAGGGTGACAAATGGGAAAAAAATTTGAATCAAAAGTGAACAATTAGGAAATTTAGGAAGAGATTTTTTAGTTAAGTACAGCGCTTAGACTAGTACCGTTAAGAATGGTAAAGCGGAGACTTTCGCTAACTTCACAATAAATCCAATAAGTCGGCAGAATTAGAATCAGAATTTTATTTGTGAAACATAGGTTAGTATACATGGTATATAAAATTTTTGTTAGTATCACTACATTTCCACCTTAATTAAGGTATACAAATAGATATGGACCTATGAAAGAAGTACTATTATTTTGACATTGGAATCACAATCTATGAATATAATTTGAAATTGTCTATTGTTACATGCATGTCAAAGTAGATTATAAAGGACAATGGGCAAAACACACCCAGCTCCGCCAACAATGTAATTAGTATGAATCGATAGATCTATGAAAAACTAACCTTTTTTATTATGACACCGAAAATAAATATCCTGGGAGTCAAAAGATATGACACCGTAAAAAATATCCTGGTAGTCAATAGATATGACACATGGGCATATTTAAGTAGCTGAATAAATTCATTTTCAAGTACCTTCATTTTATATTATTAGTAATCAAAATAATATGCCTTATCGTAGGTACTATACAACCAGATATACGACAAAGCCTGCCGACCATCCTGCGCTTGCTCTTACTGAGACATTTCAAAACGGTGACTGCATGAAGGACTTGCAGTTGCAAACAGTCGACTCGTCTTACTTCGTTGTGATTGTGCGCTCCCTGCTACTTGATTGATTTTTATCTAACTCGCTTTGGATATTGGAACACGATTATCGGTTTTGTCAATTAGTATGGATGAACTGGAATCATGTGTTCTCCGAAGTGTTTTTTTTTTATTTTGAATTTTTGAACAGAATGTTTAAAAAAACCCAACCCATACGGGGAAACTTGGATTTACTCTAGCGCGACAGAATAACATAAGGGGGCACCCTTGCACCTTGTGAAGTACTCCCATAATTCCTGAGCACCCTATGTAGGGTCGAACTAACTAACTAAATTAATTCCCTTGTTTCATTAATGTTCGTTCAGTATAGTACTTGTACATATTTAAGCTAAAATAACTAAAGTCCCCCGGGATGGAATTTGATGCGCTTTGGCACAGATGATCTCGACTATAATACATTTCAAACAAATGTAGTTTAAGCCGTGGCGGACGTGGGTGCAGCGTCCATACATTTTTGCCCAATGTCCTTTGATAAGCCATAAAGTTGTCATACTAATAGTCAAAATTTTAATGGAAGAATAAGCAAAATGTCCAAAATAGCAATAAATACACATTTCTTAACTTGGTTGTCAATTTTAATATGTCTAATTTTTTTAATAGGGAACTGCTTTTATAAAAGACATGTCCGATTTAATTACAGGATTTGTCATTTAAAAATTCCTCAACTGTATAGTAGGCTTTTTCAACTAATGATGCTAACAGACGCTTCTTAAAAGTCTTTATCGGTAGTGATAGAAGTACTTCATCATTAATTATTTTATAGGTACGCGTTGTCAACCTTAATCTATCCTCTATCTATAATATCCTCTATAATATATATTATCCTCTATCAAAAGTGGCGCTCTAACTTAACTAATTGTTTCAGGAGATCCTACGCTTAGCTCGAGACTTGAATGAGACCGGTACTCTACACTCCGTGAGGCCAGTGCAGTGGAACAACTTCAACCATCTCGACTTTATATTGGCCAAGGATGTGGGCAACATCCTGAACACACCACTGGTGACCCACGTTAAAGAGCTATTCGACGAATATGACAATCATTAAGTGCAGCGTCGTATTAAGATTAAACCAACAAAATTAGTAACTTTTCATAATTTTTAATATTATTATCCTTCTAGTTTCGGTTTCCTTAATGCTGAGGGCCGTGACTCGTGAAGTCGTTGAATTCGATCCTAATACGAGTAAAATGTAAAGAACTTTTATATGGAAGATTTGAATTCTCGTTACGTCCGTTGTGGAGCTGTTTAAATTTCCATACAAAACTTCTTAACGCGTATGGAGATTGAATTTCACTATTCGAATTCGATTTTGGTTCGTGCTAAGGGTAGGTAGCGATTAGCCCAACGTGTCTGACTTCTCGTGGTTTTTAACCTCCACTTAGCCAGTGACCATTAAGCTCTCCGGGTTGTCGTCATTAATTCTGGCAATGTGGTCAAGTATTCTAGAAACCAAAATTTTAATCAAAGCGGTGGAAAGCCTTGTATGTATTTTTAGCTTCTGCGGGATCGATGTGCTGTGCAAGGAATCCTACGCCAGCACCACATCTCGAAAGCATCGATAACGTCACAGTCAGATTTCTTCAGGGCCCACGTCTTTACTCCGTACAAGAATATAGAGAACACCAGACTGCGTACGTGATTAGTCTTGGTTTCAAGGGATATGTTTTTGTCCTTCCATATCTTTTGGAGCTGCGCCATACCGCCCTTTGCTATCGCCATTCTTCTTTTTACCTCATTTTCGCATCAGCCATTACAAGTCAACTAATGCAAGAGCCCAGGTATCAACTACCTCCAAGTGAAGTTTACCAGTGAGCTCAAGCTTGCCTGTGCTATCTATGGCCATTATCTTGGTTTTGGACTTGTTTATAGAATGTCCCACTTCTGTGCTGATTCGCCATCCTCTCCATGTAGGTGATCATCTCTGTTTCAGCTACCGCTAGTATGCTGGTAGCGTCAGCATAACGCAAATAACAAAATTTTCGAGCGCCGAAGGTGATGTTCATACCCTAGCCCTCGCAGGTACGCCTCTATGTATGGGTGTTATGACGTTGGTCAAATCGTCAAATTAGAAAAATTGGTAATTCGTCAAATCCTCTTTTCGTCAAATTATGTATTGAATACGATGGGAGAAAAGATGCAGCCCTGCCGTACACCTTTTTCGCAACTAAACGCTTTAGCTGAGGCCAATTACCACTATTCCTTGGCTGTTGTAATATAGTGTTTGTATGAGTGTAGTTAAATGGTGAGGTACACTCAGTTCCGATAGGACCTTTGATTAACAGTTTGAGTTGACACAGTCGAAAGCCTTGCTGTAATCAGGGTTGGATTTTGTACTATAATTATAGTATTTATACTATGATTTTGCTCTTTGTATAATATACTATCCACATCTCAGGAAAGTACGCTTAAATACTATAATTTAAAGTTTGCTCCCGAATGCAGTTTTACGTCATATTATCTGATCTTGCGATGTTTGCTGTGTTGATGGCCGAGGATTCCCTGATTATCCTCCGCAGTACACCTCTCTCTTTCCACTAATCTCGTCCCTTCCATTCCATTCGAAACTCAATCAAAGTTTGCTCAATGTTTTAACAATCGCTTGCGAGTTTTTGTGTAAAATAATAAATTTTCAGTGTTTTAATTATGGAGTGGCATCAAAACCGGTAGCAAAAGTGGAAATTGTACTGATTTTATTCCTACTGAGGATATGTTGATGAGATGAAATGCCAAGGATGAAGATAGAACTAATAGTAATATTCAAGAACTCGTAAACTTATAAGAGGAGCACATTTTGCCTTAACGGGTGTTGATTTTATTTACTATTCTAAGTTAAATAAAAAATAATGAATGTGTACTATATTTTTTTTATAAATACAATCCTTTTCATTTTTTTGTGCTATCTTTTTCAACATACCTAAATCCAACTCTAGCCAGAGTTAGTAATGCACAAAACACATTATAGCTAGGCGTCGAATTCATAGCATATCTCAACAATCTGGTTTACATTAATGCATGAAGAGGCATCCGCCTCTTCCCTTCACGCAGTCAACCTGTACTTGTGGAATCTGCCAGTCAAGGTAATAGTGGAATTTAAGCAACTTTCGCAGTGGTCGGTCATTGGATGGGTGACACAAAATTACTATCTCGAGCTCCTCCGTGCTTCGGAAGGCACGTTAAGCCGTTGGTCCCGGCTGCATCTGCAGTCGTTAGCACCCACCAATCCGCACTGGGCCCGCGTGGTGGGTCATGGCCCAATCTCCCTATTCCATCCATAGGGAAGGCCTGTGCCCCAGCAGTGGGGACATTAAAAGGCTGATGATGATGAAGACTGCTTGCACGGGAGATAACAGCGAGTGTGCGATAGTTAACGCATTATTTGGTCGATCCTTTTTTGTGTAGTGGAAAGATGATCGACTGAGAATATTTATTATACATGTAAGATTAAAAGAAAACATTATTCTTTATTTTTACGAATGTGCTATCTACTAGCTCCTAGCTCAAACTCAACAATAACAGAGCTTCATTTCATAAACAATAATTGGTTGTCTGTAAAGTCGGCTTACGGACGATAATTTTGACGTGTCGTTCGCTGTTTTCCTTGGGGCATTTTTATTCCGGTCCGTCTGTGCCCAAGCACGTTTCTGTAGCTCTTTGGAAGCCTGGGTTAGGCTCTGCGGGGGTTCGAGGGGGAAGAAGGGGTTTCCGGGGAGAGGGAGGCAGGCAGAGGGGGGTCGACGGAACCTCTCGTCCTCACCTCACACACAACGTTGACTTACGTGACATGACGTCTCATAACGTGACTCTTAACAATATGCCGTCATACTTTTTCGTGCGTGCATCTAGCTAGTGTTCATTGATTTATAAGACGTTATCACGTCAAAAAAGCAATCAAACTATTACTTAGGAACTTGCTTTAAAGGAAATAAAAATTACAGAAATTCTATTTGTGGATAAATAAGATTTTTTTTCTCCTAAGTAAAACGGAGAGTATCTGAGCAATAGGAGTATTCCCAAAAGCACATTCTGTCAGTAAACATGTGCCTCGAGCAAAAAAAATAAATTTATAATGCAGTTAAAGTTTTATTTTATTTGTTTAATGCAGTGTTAGTTTTTATTCTCAATTACCCGTCTGGTAAATTTAGTTTAGTATTCACGTATGTAAACAATTTAATTTATTTTGTAACAAGTCCGACCTTTAAGCGGTCGTATACGTTTATGCAAAAGAAAAAAATAATTAATTACTTGCATGATATATAGAACCTATATATCATGAATATATATAGAACCGGAGGAGCTCGATGGCGCGGATGGTTAGCGCGTTCGGCTGCGATCGTTGAAGTTAAGCAACTTTCGCAGTGGTCGGTCATTGGATGGGTGACCAACAATTTACTAACTCGAGCTCCTCCGTGCTTCGGAAGGCACGTTAAGCCGTTGGTCCCGGTTGCATCTGCAGTCGTTAGCACCCACCAATTCGCACTGGGCCAGCGTGGTGGGTCATGGCCCAATCTCCCTATTCCATCCATAGGGAAGGCCTGTGCCCCAGCCGTGGGGACATTAAAAGGCTGATGATATAGAACCTACAGAATGGCCTGTCCCACGACTTTGCTATGGGGAGGGAAAGTACCTTGAATAGATTTTTTATTGTATGTAGACTTAATTTAAAAAAACAATACAAACAAATTTTTAATCGTCGCATGTCAGAACCAGTTATCAAACCAGCTATATGTGAAAAAAAATGGATGCGTGTAACTTATGTACGCGCGTGAGAAGATATACTTCTTTAGCATCATTAAAAATATTTTTTAATTGCATGCAAATAATTAATAATTACAATAAAATAATAAAAGGACTGGAAAAGGATAGTTAACAAAGTCAATTAAGTTCAGTTTTAATTTGAAAAATTAAATAAATATTCAAAATATTCAATTAAAATCACTACTGAATTTAAGTTATTAGTCACTTTTGTGTTACAGTGATGCGCGTGCATCTAAAAATTTCACTCTCATCATTTTTTCATAACGCGCCTAAAGAAGTATAACTTCAAAAATACTTGCGATTTTTCCGTACCTACCGATTGGCGCAAAATTTCTTCTCAATAACAAAACAAACTTCTAATGTGTAGGTCTTAACAACAAAAAAAAATCTTAAGAAAAGTTTACTAGAAAAATTGACATTGTGGGTTACCTACAGTGCGAAGAGATGGCACTGCCTTGCAGCTTAATGCTAGGAAAATTTCGACGCGGCCAATAGGGCCGTGGTAGCATAATGGTCAGTGCATTCGCCCGGATTGCGAAGGGTGCGGGTTCGAGTCCCGTCCGCTGCCTGGTCCGCGTGGATTTTTTTCTATTAAACTTTTCTTTAGATTTAAACATCAGCAGTTAAATGGTTAAAAATAAATAAAAACATAAAAAAAATACATTATTAAAATTTACTTCAGAATTTTGAATAGCTTTTTTTCTGACTACACAACAACAATACAATATATGCCTAACTAAATAATTTATAGTAGAGCTTTGCCTGCTTGATTTGGTTGAACAAATATTACATGATCTTGACATTAAAAAAAATCCTTTCCGGTTTTTAAAAAGTAAAATAGCGTTAGTTTAACGCTTAATGTACGCAGATATAAATAAACAAGTAGATTTCATTATACACAACGAAAATCGTTCTTATTGATACGTAATAAGAATGCAGTCAATATAAAAAATTTATTCACTAACGTGTTCTAGACTATACAAACTGGATTGAGGTATTTTGTACACAAATACATAACATAAACACAAGATTTTGATAATTCACAAAACCAGGATTATAATTAAAACGATGTCCTTCACCGACATGGCGTTTGTCTAGGGTTACCTACTTTATTTCATCTAAAGAAAATATAACTAGAAAAAATCCACGCGGACCAGGCAGCAGACGGGACTCGAACCCGCACCCTTCGCAATCTGGGCGAACGCACTGACCAATTATGCTAACGCGGCCCTGACGGACCGCGTCGAAATTCTTCTAGCCATTCTTAAGCTGCAAGCCAGCGCCATCTCTTCGCATTATAGGTAACCCACAATGTCAAACAAATACTTTTCCAAGTATTAAACATTTGAAAGAAGAAATAGCAATTATAGTTATATTTTTTTTATTATTTTAAAGCATGTAACTGCTTGATGTTTAAATCTAAAGAAAATATAACTAGAAAATTTTTGGTCAGTGCATTCGCCCGGATTGCGAAGGGTCGGGTTCGAGTCCCGTTTGCTGCCTGGTCTGCGTGGAATTTTTTCTACGGCCGGAGACCAAAGTGGAAAATGAAGAATTAAAGGCTATTATGGAAGCGGATCCATCACAAAGCACTTCAAAGATTGCTGCAGGCTTTGCGGTAAGTGCGATGGCAAAAGTGCATAGATAACAATGTTGCATGCTTTGATTAATTAAATATATTTTATAAAAAAACATATCTTTATATTCCTCCCGTACCAAACGCCAATTTCATATGTAAGGACCTAATATCTTCGAAGCTGTTATACCTCTAAAAATATAGTAGATGCCAAAAAATTTAAAAAAAATATCGTATTGGTTAAATATTTACTTTACTTTTGAAATGTTATATATTTTTCCTGCTATGCCTTCATAAATAATGTTTTTATTTGTAAGAAAGCTTTTACTGCCTAGTCTGCCGTAAGGAAAATATAGTAGTTTCACCTACTATTTATTTTTCAGAAATATAGTATTTGATCCCCTGATATAATAGCAGGATACTATATAATAATAGTAGAGGGACGGTACGGTGGGCACTAGGCCGCGTATTCAGCCCCCACGCGCGGACCATCCTGCGCACGTCTGCGGGGTCCCCGCAATACCTCGGGAGACCCCTGCCGTGGAGCTGTGGCTAGGCCGGGAGGCTGCTGGGTGCGGAGACGTGGAAGAATCCCTAAACGGGGATCCCGTGGTTTCGCTCTAAGCAGCTTAGAGGGTATTCGCAGGGTTTTTTAGCGGATATTATGCCGTAAAGCGCATAGAGTTACGGGGTCCTTAGTGGACAGCCACTGCGGGGGCTTACGGCTTGCGCGAGCCAGGTGTGAGGTCCGTTCGGCGATGTGACTCTTAAAGGCGCCGTCGTTTGTAAACAGAGGTTTTTCCTGCGTCACAAAAAGAAAGGTTGCCAAACATTTTCGCATGCAAATTATTCATAAACAATCGCATGCACCATTTTAAGTATTTCGGCCAAAGAAGATTTGGGTCAAGTAAAGCAGTGTTTCCTAACCTTTCCAATACTGCTACCCCTGTAACTTATTAGGAGAACAGATTTTACCCCGACTTTAAAATGTTCAAGTCCAAGAAATTCCAATTTGGCCGCTACATCTTCGTCTCCAATAATGTCATCATCAGGAGACAATCTCGGCCCGCTTCCCACACTCAGCACCCCGCGAGCTCGCTAGCAAGAAGGAGCGCATGCTCTATTTAGTAGTATTATTATATAGTATTTTATTATTTTTAAGATTTGACCAAATAATTAGATTCTTTGTTACCCCCGAAGTATGGCTGATTTACCCCCGGAGGGGTAATTACCCCCAGATTCGGAACCCAGGAAGTAAAGGATAGCTCACTACATTATGTCGGAGCGCAGCGGACCGCATATTCCGATGCGTGTGATGGGAAAGGGTATAGGATTCTTAAGGACACGGATCTCTTCTGTATGAATTATCTTTATGTCTCACGTTGCGCACATACTAAAGCCAATTTTCTATATTAAAAAAATATACACTACGTTTACCGAGTCATAGAACCGAGTTTACGAACTCGGTAAGACAAGATGGGATGATGATATTCGTAGGCTGGCTGGAGTGGGCTGGATGAGAATAGCACAAAATCGGGAGCAGTGGCGTGCATTAGGGGAGTTCCATGTCCAGCAGTGGACGAACACGAGTTAATGTAAATGAACACAACAACAAAAATATTCCTTAGTTTTGGTTTTCTACTGATACACGACGTGCTGTCCTGATCATCATCATCGTCTGCGTAACTAATAACGCATCCACTGCTTTGGCACAGGAATATTTTCTTAATGATAAAATCAGAGATTAATTACCATTACTCGCCAGATTTTAGATTCTGGGTTTTAATCTGTAATGCTTAAATTATTATTACTTAAGTTCTTTCAATCTAATTACACTTGACATTCAAAATAATGTTTTTGGCCGGTCTTATGCATTTTCTGGTTCATTTTATGTTGTAATTTATTTATTGCTTTCACGTTTTTAATTGTATTTTATTGACATTTTTGATTCTGTAACTTTGTTGACTTTGATTTGTATGTTTATTTTAATTTTGACTTTTTAATTGTGATTCCACTTATGACTATTTCTATATAATTTTTTTTTTGAATTGGATTGCATTGACTTGTTGGTGTGTTGGATTAGCTCTGTAAACCAGTATGTGAAACTGAATATATAAATAAATAAATAAATAAAGGGTGAATCCGGATGAAATATAATAATAATAAGAAAGTCAGTATAGTCCTGTCAGTGATCTATCATCACTGACAGGACTATTGTTGCTAATAAGGCTGATATAGTGATGACAGATTGGGAGGAGCGCCTCGCAATGATAGTTGATGTGGCCATCCCTCATGACGAGAACCTCATGAAAGCCGAGAAAGATAAACAAATAAAATATCTTGACTTGGCTCATGAGGTTGTCGCCATGTGGGATGTTGACTCGGCTGTCATTGTGCCGATAGTTGTGACAGTCGATGGCCTGATAGCTAAGAGCTTCGACTGTCATCTGCGGAGGCTCGAGTTGAGTGACTGGGTCAAGGGCCTGATACAGAAGGCAGTGCTCCTTGACACGGATCGCATAGTGAGGAGGTTCCTCTCTCTGTGGCCCTAACCACCGGTAGCTGGGACCCTGTTCCCGCTGCCGGTTGGCTTCTATTTTTTATATTTTTAAATGTTTTTATTTTTATATCAATATTTAAAAATGTAATCAATATGGTAAATAAATAAAGAGAATAATATAATAATAATAATAATTTCTTTATTTCTTCTCTCACTTGTTTTCTCCTTTTTTTCTAGTTATATTTTCTTTAGATTTAAACATCAAGCAGTTTCATGCTTTAAAAAAAAACTATAATTGCTATTTCTTCTTTCAAATGTTTAATACTTGTAAAAGTATTCATTTGACACTGTGGGTTACTTATAATGCGAAGAGATGGCGCTGCGTTGCAGCTTAAGAATGGCTAGAGGAATTTCGACGCGGTCCGTAAGGGCCGCGGTAGCATAATTGGTCAGTGCATTCGCCCGGATTGCGAAGGGTGCGGGTTAGAGTCCCGTCTGCTGCCTGGTTTCTTTAGATTTAAACATCAAGCAGTTACATGCTTTAAAAGAAAAAAAAATCCTTTTAATAACATTAAACTCGCCAAAAAAACTTGTCTTCGACCGATTGTAATATAAAAAGCAATCCTATGCCACTTCCTTATCATATTCAACAAATCAGTTGCGAAAACCTGATGTGTCCGATCTCATTATAAATATTTTGCATTTGCTACCTGCAATTGATGATGTGATGTGTACCAGTGGAACTTTGTTAATAGCTTTTTTAGTTTATTGTTATTAAATTTGAATGCAACACCACGCTATATTCATTGGCTGTCACTGCGATTCATTGATCAATATTTCAACAATAAGACCATGGCGCCAAATTAAAATAGTATTTTATGTGGCATGTCATAAACAACTTTTAAAAATGAAGAGTTGTAGTTGTATAATTCTATTAGTAAGTCTTCTTTTCACTGTGAGTTCGCAAGTTTTGAAGAAGGCATACGCGACAGTGGTAAGTGGAATGAGTTACTTCTAAAGGAGATTGCTCAAATTGGCCTAAATGCACAAAAAATATTGACATACACGGTAATTGTTGGCGTAATTTATAATTTAATTAACAGTCATTAGATTTCAACGGACACCTTTTGTATAATATATTTACTTTAAAAAGGACTTTTAATTGTACCGGTTTGGAAAACATACGAATCATTTTTAATGGCTATGGGTGTAGTAACATTCAGTCAAAGACTGATCGAAGTTTATATAACATAAAAACAAATCTATTTTGTAAAGATCGATAAAATATTTTTTTTTTATTACACTGTGGTATTAATATCCACAACTATATTATCATTTTCACTAGATGCAAATGTGCTCAAACAATTATTATAGATGGTAGGCGACATTATAAAGTCTATTGCCATACATTTTTCGCCAAACACCTCCATAAACACATTATAATCTGTATATATGTTAAACTTTAAGGTATCTATCTATGGGCCTACGTTCCCTGACTATAAATTAATAAATAAATAAAATTATAAGGTGTGATACACTAAAAATCTAAAATATGGTTATCTTAAAAACATAACAAAAATAATGAAGCTACTGAATATATATGGCTATAGAACCTAAATCTCTTAGCTTTCTTTGGTTAACGAGAGTTTAAAAATTCTCTCTAATCTGTGGCTCATTCACAATCATCACTCAGTTTCTGTCACAGAGTACTTTATTATAACCGGAAATGACACCTGATTTTAAAAGTTACTCTTATGCATTAACTTTAAAAACAAGCAACTATCTGTTAATCTACATGCTCTATATACCTGAATCTAATCCATAATTTCGGTACTTGGCCTGATTTCTCTAGTTTACTATATAAATTATTTGTTTTTTATTATTTTAATATGTTCAGTGTATATGGTTTATAGAAGTTCTCAGGGGTGTCCGTCAATAATATTCGTTTCTACAGTAATTTCTATATAATTTCGAATCTAGGAAACAATTTTTCATGATTATTGGTCTTTAGGCCAAACATGTATGGAAGCTGAGCAATCTCCTTTGTATGCTGATTACCGGCATGATTTTGGTCAATGAGAAATTTCGTACCTTCAGCCTCAACTGGTGGAATCTGCTGGATATCCAGTAGAGAAACACTACGCGCATACTTCGGATGGATACATCCTGCAGGTCTACAGGATACCACATGGAAAAGGTACCAACCAAATGGATGGAGAGAAGAAGGCAATCGTACTCTTTCATGGTTTGATAGGTGGCTGTGATAATTTCATCATCATGGGACCTAGAAAGAGTCTCGGTAAGTAAGACTACTTTCATACTAGATTTGTAGAAAATATATATATAGTGAAATATTGTTGGCTTCTTTGTAAAGAATCTTTGTAATAAAAGGACGACCTCCGTCGCCGAGTGGTTTGTACGCAGGGTTTCATGGCGTCGCTGACTCGAGAGGTCCCGGGTTCGAATCCCGGTGGGGGCAGATGTTTGTGTGATGAACACGAGCATTTGTACTCCAGTCATGGATGTTTAATATGTGTTTCTGTATAAATATACTTATATATGTAAAGTATATGTATTCCATCCGTTACCCTAGTATCCCATAACACAAGCCTTATAGTGCTTACTTTGGGGCTAGGCTAATTGGTGTGTGTAGGAAAAAAAAAACACCAATGCCTCGAGTTTGAAGTTGTTGTAACTCTTGACTGAATTAATGGCGTCTATTAAAATTAGATAATTTGAACCCACTTTCAAACAATAGGTTTTGCCCTGTAAACCGTATTTGTCGTAGTTCCCCTGTTTCTGGTTATCACCTCACCATTTCAAAGAGCATTGAGAACCTTATTGTTAGTATCTTACTCCAGTGATCTACAGTTACTTAATAAGGTTAGATTTTTATCCGTGGCTATGCGTTAGTTAGGTATCATCATCATCAGCCTATTAATGTCCCCACTGCTGGGGCACAGGCCTTCCCTATGGATGGAATAGGGAGATTGGGCCATGACCCACCACGCGGGCCCAGTGCGGATTGGTGGGTGCTAACGACTGCAAATGCAGCCGGGACCAACGGCTTAACGTGCCTTCCGAAGCACGGAGGAGCTCGAGATAGTAAATTTTTGGTCACCGATCCAATGACCGACCACTGCGAAAGTTGCTTAACTTCAACGATCGCAGCCGGACGCGCTAGCCACCTGCGCCATCGAGCTCCTCTAGTAGTAGTTAGGTATAATAATAATAATTTATTTATTTGCAAGAAAAGTGGTACAAAATGTGTTACATTATTTGTTGAGACACGCACAAGTCACCAGAATCTGGCATAAAAATTTATAAAATATCTAAAAATAAAAGTGCACTATCTATAAGCGGTCCAAACCCAGGGGTAAAAAAAAATTAGTAGATTACTGTCGTCTTTTACATAAACCCATAAACTCCTCAACAGAATAAAAACAGTTCCCAATGAACCGAGTTTAAAGTTTCCTCTTGAACGTATTTAAAAGCAAAATCTTGAGATCATCCGGCAAACTATTATAAATACACTAGTGGCCCGCCCTCGCTTCGCTTCGGTGTAAAGCTGTAGTGTAGACTATAGTTTTTGTTCTCAGGCTTGTATTATACACAATGACATTCTTCTAATACCCAATTACAATAGGCACGCGCCGCCAAGCCCGGTAGCGTCGGAACCGCTATGTCCCTGAATTTTAAATTTGTAATATCTTCGAAAATATTCATTTAAATTATATGCGTTAAAGGGCCAAATTGTTCTATATTAAATGCACAATGTATTTAAGGTATTTAATTGGATAAGGATGAATGTTATATTGCTTAAAATCGCTTCGTAAATAATCTATTATTTCTCGTAAAAAGTATAGGATAAAAATTGGTTATTGTGGGTTATCCTTAGGAGATAGACATATACCATCCCGGACTTTTTTGTAGACCTTTTTAAGGTATACAATACTTTAGTACATTATTTTGATCTATCTCGTGGGGATCAGCCAGCGTTTGCAATGTAAGCGCAAAAAATTTGTGTTTATTTACGACCTTACATTAAAAACCTCTAAAATTATCAGTGTTTCTCTACTATATTATGCATGTATTATACATATAAACCTTCCTCTTGAATCACTCTATCTATTAAAAAAAACCGCATCAAAATCCGTTGCGTAGTTTCAAAGATTTAAGCAAACAAAGGGACATAGGGACAGAGAAAGCGACTTTGTTTTATACTATGTAGTGATATAGTCATACAATACGCATTTCTATGGCTAGGCGTTCTCAATAGAATCAGGCAAGTCAACCCGAGGCAAATTTTATATGGCTATGAATAAGTAAATCATAAGTCTTTACGTTCTGTTTAAAAAAAAATCTGTTTTTCTTTGGTCACTACTTAAGATGAGAACTAGGCACTTTATTTTTTCATTTTTTATTTATTTTCTAAGAAAACCAACAGCGCTCCGATACAAAATTTACAGTAGATACATTTCTAAAAGTATGGCCAATGACAGGTTTTCCTTAACTAGATTAACAATAGGTGACTTATTATTGGTACTTCTATCCCTTGAGGAGCTCGATGGCGCAGGTGGCTAGCGCGTTCGGCTGCGATCGTTGAAGCTAAGCAACTTTCGCAGTGGTCGGTCATTGGATGGGTGACCAAAAATTTACTATCTCGAGCTCCTCCGTGCTTCGGAAGGCACGTTAAGCCGTTGGTCCCGGCTGCATTTGCAGTCGTTAGCACCCACAAAACCGCACTGGGCCCGCGTGGTAGGTCATGGCCCAATCTCCCTATTCCATCCATAGGGGCGGCCTGTGCCCCAGCAGTGGGGACATTAATAGGCTGATGATGATGATTCCTAAGAAGCGATCATCAAACAATCCATCCATATGTAATCGGTATAAATCTCTTAAATAAAATGTAATATTTACACATATACATAATAATCATCATCATCATCATCAGCCTATTAATGTCCCCACTGCTGGGGCACAGGCCTTCCCTATGGATGGAATAGGGAGATTGGGCCATGATCCACCACGCTGGCCCAGTGCGGATTGGTGGGTGCTAACGATTGCAGATGCAGCCGGGACCAACGGCTTAACGTGCCTTCCGAAGCACGGAGGAGCTCGAGGTAGTAAATTTTTGGTCACCCATCCAATGACCGGCCACTGCGAAAGTTGCTTAACTTCAACGATCGCAGCCGAACGCGCTAACCACCCGCGCCATCGAACTCCTCTTTGCATTATTAACCATTCTCAAATATAGAAAAAGAAAAAAAATGTTCTTTACCCCTAGCACGAACCAATTGAATTTGCATTCGTATCGTTTACATAATAATACTAAGTATCTCTTATCTATTAGACAAGTCCGTCCGTCCGTCCGTCTGTGGTGCTGTTTCAGCGGCTAAACCGTAAGAGATAGATAAAGAGAATGTTTAAGTTATTAGTTTTTTTTTTCAAACGAAACCACACAAAATCTCCGAAGTTCTCAATTAATTAAATACATTTTTTTTTAAATCAGGTTTTGGTGAACATTTGGTTCACTGGTTTGCTAGTGTAACACTAATAAGGTATGATTAATACTTTCCTCTGTTCCGTTTATTCATCTAATATTTTTCTAATATATACGATACCTTTATATATAAATAAGTTTTAGTATTTACCCTTTTGATTCTTTTTCCAGTAGTCTATTTTTTATTTCATGTTTGAATTCAGTTTTTGTGTTTGCGAAAATATCAACATTGTCCAAAACATGTATTGTATGTCCTGACAATTCGTGCGAGTTTCACTTAATCGATTACATCCTTTTTTTATTTTACTTTGTTGAAGTTCTCCCGTTTTAGACAAGGCAAAGGGAACAATGCCCATACAGCCTGGTCTTTAATAAAATTATCTTCTTTTTGTTTTTACATTAGAATGTCGGTGTGGCGCATTCTAATGTTTCTTTGAGTGTTTGGCCCGAAATGTATCGAGTTGGCTTTTTCGATAAGCTTCTGTGAGGTAGTCAATACTACAATTAAATTCTCACGTCCACTTGACCGGAATAGCGTATATTTTAATGATTCCACTAATTCTTCAGTTACGCAGACAGTTGTTACACAAAACCACACCGATTTTATTTCACAATATCCACTATGAACGAATTTAAGAATAATTAAAATAAGACGCCAACCTCACTCGATGTAATCCCGCCAAAAACCTCTTATTTTACTTTGTCGAAGCTTTGAAGGTTTTTTTTAATTATTATAATATTTTATTGAGCCCGCTTGTATTAAAAAAAAGTCTTATAAACAGGTACATAAAAAAGTTTATGATACTCATATAATACATATAATGTAAAAAAAAAAAATGTCCGGAAGGGTGACAACAGCCAGACGCCGGTGAAGGGCTTATGTGAAGCGTCGCCTACCTCTGAGGCATCAAATGCAAATGGTTCCGATGGGGCAACTGGGGGCGAAGGGGGCCGTCGTGATAGGGAGCTAGCAGTGTTCATGGCGGAGATGCGTGAGTTTCGCAAAGAAATGAACACCCTTCGGGATACCCTGTCGGCAAGGCTCGACAGTTTTGACCAAAGGCTGAGCGCGGTGGAGCGGCGGCAGGCTGAGGTCGACGGGAGCGATACAGCGGAGCTGGAGCGCACTATCGCGGGGCAGGGGCAAAGGCTGGGCGCAGTGGAGCAGCGCCAGGTGGAGGGTGTTGCGAGGGACACTGCAGAGTTGGAGCGCACCATCGCGGAACTTAGGCAGGAGCTCAACGAACGCGACCAGGAGGCTCTGCTGGCCGACCTCGAAATAGGCGAGCTGCCGGAGGAGAAGGGAGTGAGCGTGGTCCAGTCCGTGACCGTCCTCGCCGCGCGACTGGGAGTCGCGTTGGAGCCGAGGGACGTGGTATTCGCGGAGCGCGTGGGCGTGCCGCCGAAGGAGGCGGACGGGCGGGCGCGCCGTGTGGTGGTGCGTTTAGCGCGCCGACAACTGCGCGACGACCTGCTGAAGGCGGCGCGCGTACGGCGTAATGTCGTGGCGCCTGCGCCGGCGCCCGAGCCCGTCGACGAGGACGGGGCCGCAGCCCCACCGGCCGCCCCGGTTGAGCGCCGCGTATATATCAACGAGCGGCTCACGCGTCATAACAGACAGCTCTTCCACGCCGCTCGTGGGCAATGCAAAAAGCTGCAGTGGAGATATTCGTGGACGAAGCGAGGTCGTGTATACGTCCGTCAGGCGGATGGTACTTCCGTGTACCAAATCAGGTCGCAATTCGACGTCGATCGCGTGTTCGGCCCTCTCGTAAAGTGACTCGTAGCTGCAGGTGTTTGTTTTTGTGCATTTTCAGTCGACAACTTAATGTACATTTTGTTTTCTGTTTTTCAGTTTTCTGTAAATGTAAATTTTTATTACCAACAATTTTATTTAAATTTTACTTGTGGGTTTAAAAAAATAAGATGGTTTTTATCATTTTCAATAACTTTATTTTGTAAAAATTCAGCTTATATAATGCTTACTAAAAGTATAACTAATCTAGACCAATTAAATATAAAAACTGTAAATGAAATAATGACTTATCATACATGGGAATTTTATTATGCTTTCACACACCGCTTGATTCACAACTCCAAAATTTTTGGGTATATAAATAAGTCAACATTTGTTGTCCTCTCTTTGACTGCATTTCGAATTACTAGTACAAAGAGCTAACATCGAGGAACCTTATGGTTGGACTCTTCAATGCGGGGTCTCTTGGCACTGGACATGAAGAGTTGATTGTGGCCGTGGATGAGTTGGACCTAGACATCTTGGCCATCAATGAGACCTGGTTGAGGGCCGGGGAGAGCGACAGGGCGCCGAAGATCGCGGGGTATCGACTGAGACATATCCCTAGACCGGAGAGTGTGCGCGGTGGTCGTGGAGGCGGTGTGGGTTTCTACATTCGTAGGGGTGTAAATGCCCGTATCTGTCAACATCCAGTGGATTCTGAGGTGGAGCAGATGTGGTTGAGGGTACGCATTAACAATCAACGAGTCCTAATTGGCACTGCATATAGACCACCCTGGCAGGATGTGGGTGTGTTCCTGGAGGCTATTGTGAGCTCCGTCTCCTCTTTTGCTGGTCGAGATGTGTTGATATTACTGGGTGATTTCAATATTAATCTTTTGGACACAACAAAAAAAATTTAAACATCCACCACACCCCTGGATTACTGATTGTGTCAAATCCATGATGCGAATAAGGGATGCCTACCATGAACGCTTCAAGCTGCAAAAAACGGAGGCTCATAGAATATGCTACAGAAACATGAAACAGCTTGTGGTGGAGGCCATTAACATTGAAAAAAAATGCTATTTTGCTCAGCATATTAACAACTACAGCAAAAACTCTAAAAAACTTTGGCGCAACCTTAAAAGCGGTATAATTGCTGATAATAAAAAGACTGTAGATATTCCAGCACATCTCAGTGACCCTGACCTTGTTAATGCGCACTTCCTCAATATACCGGGCAATGGGCAGGTAACAATATCGCAGCTCACATATTTTGAGTTCCATAGATACGGACCTGCAGTTTTCTCCTTGCAGACTGTATCGGAGGATACTGTTCTGAAAACCATCAAAGGATTCAAGTCTGATGCACAAGGACATGATGGTCTGTCACTAAATATGATACAGTTGACCCTGCCGCAAACTCTAAAGGCCATCACAACCATTATTAACAGGTCCATTATAGATGGTGTCTTCCCTGATAGCTGGAAGGTTGCTGTAGTTAAGCCCCTGCCTAAAGTCAGCAACCCGACCACCATGAATGACTTGAGACCTATTAGCTTGCTCCCCTTTGTGTCTAAGGTCTTGGAGAAAGTTGTTTGTGAGCAACTTATAAGATACCTAGAGACTAATAATATATTACCAGAGCGACAGTCTGGATTCCGTCGAGGTTATAGCACAGCAACTGCCTTAGCAGATGTTGTGGATAACCTTCTAGCAGCCCAGGATCAGGGGAACCTTAGTATCCTTTTATTGCTTGATTTTTCAAGGGCGTTTGACGCAATAAATGTGGATCTCCTGCTTTCTAAACTGGCTTACTATGGAGTTAGTGCCCAATCAATAAAGTGGTTTCATAGTTACCTTGGAAATAGACAACAGTGCGTTGAGCTGACTAGGATAGATGGAACCAAACAGCGCTCCAACAAGCTCATGGTGACCCATGGTGTCCCTCAGGGTTCAATTTTGGGACCCACTCTGTATGTTTTATTCAGCGGTGATATCACAGAAAATATAAGCCACTGTCAATATCACTTGTATGCAGATGACCTGCAACTGTATCTTCCATTCAAGTACTCTGACCACAATAATGCTGTAAATAAGATGAATGAGGATCTAAATCGTATTTCCGATTGGTGCAGGTCGAACTCGCTGGTTCTCAACCCAAAAAAAACTAAATTATTATTAATAGGTTCCAAAAAGAATGTTAAATTTTTTGAAGACATGACACTTAATATAAATATAGATGGAGAGAGAATAGAACGCGTAAATTATGCTAGAAATTTGGGACTGATTATGGATGAACAACTTAGCTTCGAAAGTCACATTGCTGAATGTTCCCGCATTTGCTTTTATAGGTTAAAGCTGCTGTACAATATTAGACCCTATTTAAGTGAGGAGCTGAGAATCAAGTTGTGTGAAATGCTCGTACTTTCAAAGTTAAATTACTGTGATACTGTTTTTGGACCCTGCCTAATGTCCAGAACTAGTAAGATCATTCAACGCATACAGAATGCTTGTGCTCGTTTTTGTTTTTATGTGCCTCCTCGTTCACACATAACTCCCTTTTTGAACGCCGCAAAACTTTTAAAGATGGAGGCAAGGAGGAAGTTACATCTAGCTACCTTATTATTTGATGTTCTGGACAAAGGAAGGCCAAGCTATCTCTATAATAAGCTTGTATGGATGCGTGACCAGAGTAGATACCCGGTTAGACGGTGTTGGCCTGTCTTCTTTACCATGAAGCACCGAACAGCAGCATTTCGTGGATCCTTTCGGTTTGCAGCCTCAAAATGCTGGAACGATCTTCCCCCGCCCGTGCGTGATCTGAAAACCATTGGAACATTCAGAAAACATTGCAAAATATATCTACTTCATATACAAAGTTCATCATAGGATTCACGACACGACTTACCTAGTTTTTTCACTTCGCGTCGGTTTGTTTGAATCGTTCCGGTTGTGTTAGCTGGCACTATCGACGATCGGCGTAATGTTTGTCTGTTATTATAGCCATATCCTTATAAAAAATCTCGCCATCCATCTTGCTTTCACCACGTTGGTATAGTAATGTAAGATGAAAAATTGTATTTGTAGCTGAATTCCTGTGTATTTGCTGATTATTTGTTGTTTTGCTGTTTTTGCATACTGCCTTATTTTGTTTGTCCTCTCTTGCTGTCTATTCTTAGTTACACACAGGCATAAATCGGCAGCGAAATTACTATTATTGTTTTTGCAACATAAATACTTATTTAATTGTGTTTAAAGTTTAAGGTTAGTGTTTTTATTTTTTTGGAGGTTCAGTTTGTACTCTGTGAACTCTGTCGTCCCACAGATTAGTCATTCTTTTTTTTATTTTATTTTTTTTACTAAATCTTTGCATTGTCTAAAGGCTAAGATTGTAAAATTATACAGCCATTCCATTTTCTTTTTTTCTCTTTGATATGTATTTATTGGTATGCTTGTTTCTTTTTGTGTATTATTGTTGTTTTTATTAATTATCTGTGTCATCAACCATAGGCCCTGCCAGAATTATCAGCGCTGCAGCATCCCTGGTGTTGCTGTAGTATTCAAGCTGAGGCAGGGACCTAGTTGGCCTATTTTGTCTTGTTTTATTTATGTAAATGTTACTGTGTTTAAGGCTAATAAATTTATTTCTATTCTATTCTATTTCTACATAAAAATATTCTCAAATTTATCAGAGTTTTTTCTATGAAAACTAAGAAGCGAATACCTAATTACTATTTTATGATTAAGCAATAATTTAAAGTTGAAGAAGAGTAAATGTCAGCATTTATAATTTGTTATAAATACAAAACAAAAACAATCAAATCTTATTTAGTTGATTAAGATTTTTTTTTATTATTATGATCTGGACTGGTTTATGCAAATACGGCGTAGTACATGACTTTATTTCGTTAAATGTTAAACCTATTTTCAAAAAATTAGGGGAAACCACCCAAACATTGGCACTCGTCCTATATTGGCACTTTGAAGTTTAATTCGCAAAAACAAGGAGATAATAGATTATTCAAGCTCGTTACATATTAAAAATAAAACCTAGTATGGTTTCGAAATTTGAAAATAGGTAGCATTATTCCTACAATGTATTGTTTCCTGGTTTTTTCGAAATAAACTCAAAAGTGCTAATAATAGGAAGAGTGCCAATGATTGGGTAGTTTCCCCTATGTCTGGTTGTGGTGATCGAAATATATTATTTCGCGCAAACTTCTATCAATAAGATTGTTAACCAAAAAATGACAAAGTTATAGCGCGTCAAAGTTTGGGAGTAGGGGCTCGTGACGTCACTTTTTAGTGAATATTCGCTTAAAAGTGTACCCAAACGTGACGTCATGCGACTTTTCAAATCAATATATCTCTGCAATATTTATATTTTGTGAAAAAAGAAAAAACACGTGTCCAATACTATTTGATAATCTACCTGATAAACGAAGAAAAAAAAATTAGTCATCATTCCTATTATAGTAAGCTAGTCTTTGCCTCCCACCACTTTAAGAAGGATTTATTCACTGATAAAATGTTATAACGTGTTTGTGATATATCCTCAGCATATTACCTAGCGGATGCTGGGTACGATGTGTGGTTGGCAAACCTGCGCGGCAACTTCTACACGTCTCATCGAACGTTAACCAGGAAAGATCCCGCGTTTTGGAAATACAGGTATTTATTTAGTTAGTCTTTATCAACTTTCTTTGCCACTGCCCATGTGTCATCAAATCATAATGACAATGTAAGACGGCTGACCATGACCAGTGTGTGTTACCAGTGATGACTTATGGGACTGAGACGTGGTCTCTGAATGTCGGCCTCATGATAAAACTCAGAGTCGCGCAGCGTGCTATGGAGAGGGCTATGCTCGATGTTTCCCTACGTGATAGGATCCGAAATACGGAAATGTATCCGTAGAAGGACCGGTGTGTACGACATAGCCTGAAGAGTTAGCACGCTGAAATGGCACTGGGCAGGCCACATCGCTCGAGGATCTGACAACCGTTGGGTAAGAAAGATCCTCGAGTGGCGACCACGTACCGGACGACGCAGCGTGGGGCGGCCCCCAACAAGGTGGACTGACGACATCGTCAAATGTGCTGGGAGCCGCTGGATGCGGATAGCGCAAGACCGCGCATTGTGGCGTTCTATGGGGGAGGCCTATGTCCAGCAGTGGACGGAGAAAGGCTGATGGATGGATGAATGTAAGACGGTTACTAATATTGTTATAATATAATGAGGATCATTACTAGGTCAGCAAATCAAATCAAGAGCATAATGATGTAATAAGCTTTTTAGTTAATATACTTTTTAAATCATCGAAATGGGTTCATTCGTTGCGATTTTATAACTAATTTTATGGTAGCCAATATTCATCGGCGGCCGATACGTGTGACGACACAGAGCTCGATCGTGGTTCACTCCGGTCGAACTTTTGTAGCGTCTCTACGCACGCTCGCGCCCGAGAGCTAGAGCTCTGTGACGTCACAGTCAACAGGCGGCCAGCTGAAAATTCGTTTAGTAATTCGGTCATAACTTCGTCAATATTTGTCGTAGAACAAAAAATTTACCAGTTTTTCATGGAATCTTTAGAATCTTAATCTCTATAAATCTGAATTCTTAACTAAAATCGTTACAGATGCTCAGCTCACTTATAATAAGTGACTATGTTTGTTTCTAATTTATAGATAATTCATGAACATCAGTTTGGCTGCTTCCACATGTCCCCACTGTTGGAGCACAGAACTTGACTATGGACCGATCACCATAATACAAAGACATAGTGGATTATTGTTGTTAGTAATTGATATTAAGTAACATAGAGAAGGTAGAGAGAGACCCAATAGTTTCAAATATAACTTTATTTTATTAACATTGCATTAGTTCTGTCTGCTATCGTGGAAGTTAAGCAATTTTCGCAATGACCGGTCATACCCGGTATGTTTTTCGAGCTCCTCCATACTTCGAAAGGAACTTTAAGCCATTGGTCTCGGTTGTATCTGCAAATGCACCCATCAAGTCCTGCGTGATGAACCATGTTCATGGCCCATTCTCCCTATTCCGTCTACAGGAATGGCCGCAGCCCCAGCAGGCTGGCAGGAAACTGGCGCCTTTCGTTTCCCGGGCGACTATGCACTAACCTTAATGCAAACCAGACCTTATGGACGTCTCGGGCTTAGATTAAAACAAAAAGGGTAGATACGGCACTAGCCTCACAAAAGTGATCCGCATGAATTGTGGTCCACGACCCTAATCGCTTTAGTCACAACTTGACATGCAAACGACGTACATGTGAACGCCAAAAAGAAATATTGCTAATATTTTGGGTTTATATGATAAAACAATGCCTAAGTGTGTTTTTAAAAAGTGCTAAAATTGCTCAAGTAATAAAACTAAAACCCACGGTATCACTTTTCATTCGTAAGTATTATAAAATATATTTTTTCATAAAAATTGCTATTTGTTTTGAATCTTATTCGGTAGTGTCATCGAGTACTGGTCGCGTGATTGGTCGGTAGTGCAGTGACGCGGATCTCGCCGTCCCGTTCGCGCTGCCGTGGGATCAGTTTTTGTTTGATGCAAGTATGAGCGTACCGTATCTACCCTTTTTGTTTTAATCTAAGGTCTCGGGCCTCCTCAAATGGCTAATGGGCTACAAGGCAGTGCCACTTCTAAACTGGTGGAGCCCTGGAAGTGCAGAAGGAGACCACGTCCAATAATGCGCAATGGCGAGTGCAGTCTCAGGAAACAGCCTAGGGCAGTGGTTCTCAAACTTTTTAAATGACGGAACCCTTTTGGGAAGCAAAATACTTGATGGAACCCTACAATAAAACAATTATTTTTATAAGTGTATTCTATATTAATCAGCATAATAAAAGTACAATGTATCCGTTACTAATTATTATTTACTTCACCACTTGGTAAGGACAATAATAGAAAACATTAAAAAAGAAAAAATCTAACTAGTGGGAGGTATGAAACTGTTTTTTATTTTTCATCAATTGCTTGATATCAGGTTTGATGGAAGAAAGTTGGAGTCTCATATCAGCTTCGGCGTCCAGTCTATTGCGATATTTTGTTTTCGTGGCTGCGTAGGTAGAGAATCCTGTTTCGCACAAATATGTAGTTGGGAACGGGAGAAGAATATCCAGAGCCATTTGGCCAAGCATTGCATATTCATCTTGGATTCTGCACCAAAAATCATTAAGAGGCGTCGTTTTGAACAATGACTCCATACTTGTGTCTGATGACATTTCTAAAAGAGATTCATATATCTCATTTGACATGTTTTCAGGCTTTTCCAAGTTGGGTAAAAAAGGATTATGAATCCAGGAGTTCACTTTAATTTTTGTATTGTGTTCTTCGGGAAAATACTTTTCAAAAGATGCGCGCATCGAACTGAGATATTGGACCAATTCTTCAAACACATTATCTTCAAACATTTCTGAGTCGTTTTCGCTAACAAACTCAGTGAGTAACGTAAAACTTTCTATTTCTTTCTTACCAATGCAAATGATCCAAAAATCTAATTTTCTTTTAAAAGTAGTTATTTTATTATAGGCCTGAAACACTGTTGTCTGTTTACCTTGCAATGATAAATTTAATTCGTTAAGTTTTTGAAAGATATCCGCCATAAAAGACAATCGGAACAACCAAGTTTTATCATACAAACGGTCCTTCAAATTAAAAGAAGTATCTGCTGAAAGAAACATTTGTAACTCGGCTCTAAGTTCAAATAGCCTTGTTAAAGTTTTTCCCCGAGACAGCCATCGCACTTCTGTATGGAGCAGCAGTGTTTTATGTTTGCTGCCATAATCTTCACACAATAATGAGAACAATCGGGATTGTAGTGGTCGTGATTTGATAAAATTAATTATTTTTACCGCTTCATCCATAACTAATTTTAGATTAGACGGCATTTGCTTCATCGCAAGTGCTTGTCTATGCAGAATACAATGACTGGAACTACAATTAGGCGCTTTATTTTTCATTCGTGACACTGCTCCTGCTGTTTTACCTGTCATCGCCTTGGCCCCATCTGTACAAATGTCAATGCAATTGTTCCAACTGAGATTATGTTCTTCAAAAAATATATTTATTTTATTAAAAATTTCTTCCCCGGTAGTGTTTGTAAGCAGCGATGAACACATAAGCATGTCTTCTTCAAAAGAACTTTTATATGGATATCTCACAATAACCAGCAGGATAGCCAAACCAGCGACATCAGTCGACTCGTCCATTTGCAAAGCGAATCGTGTATTTTGTAGACGTGTAACTAGTTCTTGTTTGACGTAGCTTGCCAGATCATGGATTCGTCGTGAAACAGTATCGTTTGATAGCGGAACAGTAGAAAGATGCTTTGCAGATTTTTCATCAAGCATACATTTTGTTATGTCTAATACACATGGTTTTATTAATTTCTCAGCGATAGTGTGCGCTTCACCTGCTTGTGCAATGCGATAGCTAACTAAGTATGATGCCTCCGTGGCCTTTTCGTTGGTAGTTTGTGTTACATGCATCATATTTTTTTGACTTTCTAATAACTGATCTTTTTTGCGAACAAAAAATTCTTTATTCTTGTCTTTAGTCTCGGGGTGTACGGTTTCTAAATGTCGACGCAATTTGGCAGGTGCCATGGAACTATTAGGAAGCAGTTTACTACAGAGCATGCAGAGAGGTGAGCCGTTGGAATCAACAAATCCGAAACTGATATAAGATTCATCATACTTCCTTTTTTTCGTCTTTGAAACCGTCGAGCTTGACGTCGTGGCACTCGTGGCATCATCTTCTGGATCGGTGATTGCTAAATTCTCCGCGCGCATTGCTTTTGAACATTCAGCGTCATTAGAAGATGTTGTTGGAACACGTTTAACACCTTTAAGCCAACGTTCCATTCTTCTTTATTTATAATGTTACAAGTCAGGATAGTGGGGTTTAAATAATGCACAATCGTTACTGCGTATAAGAGACTAAATTTAGAACCTACAGGGAAGAAATGTATAAAACTGAGACAACAGAATACAGCAGGCAGTAAAACAATGAACACCAGTTTCTCGCTAGCGAGCTTGTAAGTAGGTAGTAACTTATCGCTCCGAACGCTAATCATCAACTGACGACGCCAACGCGCGATCGCCGCTTTTATACTTAGTCCTAGACTCGATCTCAAATATTCTCGAAAATACTCGAGTCGGCACCTTTGATAAACAAAAAGCAAAAATAAAAACAGAAATTTAAAAATAGCGTTGTAAACAATATCGACTTTATCCTTTGAAGTTAGAGACGAAAGTCGCTAGTTGACAACTATAGCGTCTAATTCAGAGGCGGCTTTTATCAAAGAGACTGAGCGCTTACAAGTATACTACCCGCTCGTTTTAAGTTTGCCGCTGGCGATAGGTATGAGTGTATGACGTTCGAAATTTTTTATTTAATTGTAACAATAAAAATTGTGTACGTTAGATATTTGGGTAAAACTATGACACATTATAAGTTTTGTTGTCACGTGGGGGAGGGTACGCGCATTCCACAGACCGGCAAACTTAGAGCGAACGCGTTGTACAAGTATAAAATTGTTGAGACCAAACTTATGAGATATTGTACCAGCTAATGTAACACAAGCTTATACAAATACAAATAAATAAATAAATAACATTCATAGCGTTTTGTCTCCGCGCGGCCGCGGAGTCCGCACAGCCGCGGAGCGACCAGAGAGAGGTGTTTTGATTTTTTTATTTCTAAATTCTTGCGGAACCCCGACAGAGGTATCACGGAACCCTAGGGTTCCGCGGAACACACTTAGAGTATAGCTGGCCTAGGGCATAACTGGTAGACTTGATGGGCTATGTATACCAGGGCTTGAAACCGGTTTCAAAAATACCGGTAAATAAAGGTTTATACCGGTTTTTAGTAAAGGTTTCGTTCGGAGCGCGTTCGAAATGAAAGCGGTACCTAAAACCTTAATAAACCGGTTTAATCCAGAGCGACACGTGCACGCGTCGGCATCGCATGAAGTTTGTTTTGTTTGAACTAATGAAGTCACAACTTGTTAATGCTCAGAGATTGATGCATTTATTGACACGTTTGCTAGCGTCTAGTGAGTCAAGTTATTCATTTTGTAGTTGTGTATTTATTTCAGCCGTCAGTAAGAGCGAAATGAAACCCTTTGAAAATCGCTAAATTGATTCAAAACCTATTTGATTTCGCTTTTAAGGAAAACCGGTTTTTTTAAGGTTAAGGTAGAGCCAAACCTAAATAAAACGCTCCTAATGTACTTGACACTGATTTAGGTTTGAAAATTAACCGGTAAACAAGCCCTGATGTATACTCGTAATTATCTTTACAGTTTCGATGAGCACGGGAAGTACGACGCTCCAGCTATCATAGATAAGATTCTAGAAGTGACTGGTCTCTCGCGGGTTTTGTACATCGGCCACTCTATGGGATTCACGACTCTTCTAACAATGCTGGCGCAGCGGCCAGAGTACAATGACAAACTGATAGCTGGCGTTGGATTGGCGCCGGCCGCGTATCTGAACAACATTCAGCGATTCGTCCACTTCGTTACGAACAATATAAAATTGCACGTGAGTATTACAAACTTCATATTTAACTTAAAATATCTTATAATATCCGTGCTATCGAGGACTTTTTGGCGGGATCGGGAAGCATCACTTAAGTACTTTCGATGATAGATGTCTTGTACTTTTTTTTCTTAATGGCTTCGCACGGTTTGTGCATTTAGCCAATGTCAAGTGTTACAATGTTTACAAATATTATAGCACTCGTTGTCAAAGTAATAAATCAAGTCAAAGTAAGTGGCAGTCAAGTCAATCCCCCTTTCCCTATGTTTCAGTAAAAGTGTGGGGATTTACTGGAACCTCCCCGTGGACTTCTTGAGGGCGTTCCCTCAGATGCGGCAGAAGGTGTGCCGCTCCAGCTATCCTCAATTGTATTGTTAAATCTACATAGACACTATCTAATAATAGTGGATTATTAACCACTAAGTGTTCGGGAACATGTACAAGTGTTGGCAAGTGAAACAAAATAGCGGAAAATGTCTTTCGACGTCCAACAACATCCACCAAAACACAATTTTTAACAAGAAAAACAAAACTGCTAAACCGCTTCTCGATCCCGCCAATAAGTCGATGATAGTCTTATTAGCAACGTGTACCTGGTATGTCAAAAATAAAGTAACAGCCATACTAGGAAGTGACAGAAGTTAAACTTTCGTTCTTTTAACCCTTTAACGCCCAAAGGGTTTTATTTTATTAAAATTTGTATTTTTTTTTTGTTATGTTTATTATAATACTATCTATTTTGATAAAAAAAAAAATATCATGATTATGTGTTGAGTATACTCAACATTACCCACAACCTTAAGAATCATCATGTAAATAGAAACGATGAGTATAATAATTAACATTGCCCGTGCATGAGAAAATTTAATATTTATTAAAATGAGACAATTAAATTTAATAAGAGCTTTATTAGTCATCAGGGCATTTGAAAAAATCAATTTAACTTGCTAAATATAGTTTCATTGAGCACTTAATTAATATTTGTGAAAATGTTTTTATAAAATTTTCATCTACAATGTGATACGATTGCTGGAAATGTCCCAGTATTGTTACGATAATATATATATATATATATATATATATTTTATTGTTGATGGCAATCTATTGCTTCAATATAATTTTGGTGTAAAAATAGCATATTTATTTTTTCAGACAAAAAAAAAACATATATAAGATGTTCAGAATTTTCAACGTTGCGAATTACAGAGTAAACAAATACTTAATTTCTGAGGAATTAAACATTTATTTTTTAACATTAATCGAGTTTGTGTTCTGGTATCAATTCCAGAAAATCTTACATGAATTGGATGTCGGAGCGATAAAGATTCCTCGGAAATATCTCAAAGCGTTAAGCAAATACTGTACATCAGAGAAGAATTTGGACCACTGCTTGAATTTTGTTTATTCAATAGTCGGTGATGACTACGGGCAACATGATTTGGTATATAAGGTTTTTTTTTAAATCTACCTCTTATAAAAACTGATCCGGTACTAGAAGTACTAGAATGAATATTGGAAAGACGTAAGATTAAAAAAAATATGGGTGCGTGTACTTAAGTACGCGCGTGAGAAGTTGTACTTCTTTTTGGAATTATTAAAAAATTGTTGTTAATTGCATTCAGATAATTAATTGCAATAAGATAATAAAAGGATTGGAAAAGGATAGTCAACGCAGTCAATAAAGTTCAGTTTTAATTTGAAAAATTTAATAAATAATCAAAATATTCAATTTAAATCACTACTGAATAAAATTTATTAGCACATATAAATTTCGCATTTGTATAACATTATAACACGTGTTAAGAATATAGAAACTAGAAACATGTGGATAAATATTATAAATATGAAAACAGTGATCAGAGGGACGAGCGTCCCAACATGTGCGACTAAGAGATCCTATTACTATTTTGTTGGAAGCTTTTTTTCGAGACTTACGAGTAATGTGCGGTTTAGCGGCCGACTTCATGGTGTTACTTTTCTGATACAGTGTTGCGCGCGCATCTTAAAATTTCACTCTCATCATTTTTTCATAACGCGCCCGCGGCTAACTTCATTATATTACTTTCGTGTTACAGTGATGCGCGCGCATCTTAAAATTTCACTCTCATAATTTTTTCATAACGCGGCTAAAGAAGTATAACTTCAAAAAAAAATTTTTATTCATTTATATACATTATATTTTTTTATTTTTTAGCATGTAACTGCTCGATGTTTCAATCTAAAGAAAATATTACTAGAAAAAAATCCACGCGGACCTGGCAGCAGACGGGACTCGAACCAGGACGCACCCTTTTGACATTGTGGGGGTTACCTACAATGCGAAGAGATGGCGCTGCCTTGAAGAAAAGCTAGAAAGAATTCGACACGGCCGTCAGGGCCGCGGTGGGCATAATGGTCAGTGCATTCGCCCGGATAGCGAAGGCTGCGGGTTCGACTCTCGTCTGCTGCCTGGTCCGCGTAGATTTTTTTCTTGTAATATTGAGCATTTAAGTTTAACAGTCAGTTGTCTTTTTATTTTTTAAGCATTTAACTGCTAGCTGTTTAAATGTAAAGAAAAGTTTACTAGAAAAAAAATCGACGCGGACCAGACAGCGGACGGGACTCGAACCCGCATCCTTCGCAATCCGGGCGAATGCACTGACCATTATGCTACCACGGCCCTATTCGCCGCGTCGAAATTTTCCTAGCCTTAAGCTGCAAGGCAGCGCCATCTCTTCGCATTGTAGGTAACCCACAATGACAAATGAATACTTTTTCAAGTATTAAACATTTGAAAGAAGAAATAGCAATTATAGTTATGTTTTTTTTTTATTTATTTTTAAGCATTTAACTGCTAGCTATTTAAATCTAAAGAATCTTTTTTTTCTAGCAAACTTTTCTTTAGATTTAACAGTCAGTCTTATATTTTCTCGTTTTCTTTTAGAATATGTCAAATGTTATGATAATGAGGATACAACCAGCATCTACTCAACAGATTATGCACTACGCCAAGCTTGCTGAGACAGGTAAGCCCGATTTTATTGAAAACCATTTAAACACCTCATTATCAAAAACTACCTTATACTTTTTGAATTTCCGAGCCTACTGTACTCAGTTCATTTTCGTTTGCAAACTTTTATACCTTATTCGTTGAATTCGCTATCAAAAATGAAAAGAGCATCTCGGTTCCAAAAAAAATTATAGCAAGGAATGGGTCCTTGAGCAACATGGCCGACGCGGCCAGGAGGGGAGTAGGCATATAGTTTTTTACCTTCTAGAGTATTGGGCATACAATCAGGGCTTGAAACCGGTTTCGAAAATACCGGTAAAGGTTAATACCGGTTTTTAGTAAAGGTTTCGTTCGGAGCGCGTCCGAAATGAAAACAGTACTTAAAACCTTAATAAACCGGTATAATCCAGAGAGCCACGCGCACGCGTCGGCATCGCTTAAAGTTTGTTTTGTTTGAACTAATCAAGTCACAGCTTGTTAATGCTCAGAGATTGATGCTAAATGCATCAATTGACACGATTGCTAGCATCTAGTGTGTCAAGTTGTTCATTTATTATCGATGCCGTTAGATAAAGCGAAACGAAACCCTTTAAAAACCGCTAAATTGATTCAAAACCTATTTGATATCGCTCTTTAGGAAAACCGGTTTTTTAAGGTTAAGGTAGAGTCAAACCTAAATAAAACGCTCCTAATGTACTTGACACTGATTTAGGTTTGAAAATTAACAGGTAAACAAGCCCTGATACAAACAATACATGTATGCAGGATTTGGCGATGCATCGTGTCAATGTTTATGTGTGATGGTGTCGATGTTACAGTTTTGTTTTATATGCGTGTACACTACTTCTTGTTCATCGGCCTGTGGAGCTCGATGGCGCTAGTGAATAGCGCGTTCGGCTGCAATCGTTGAAGTTAAGCGACTTTCGCAGTGGTCGGCCATTGGATGGGTGACCAAAAATTGTCTATCTCAAGCTCCTCCGCGCTTCGGAAGGCAAGTTGAAACGTTGGTCTCGGTTGCATCTGCATTCGTTAGCACCCACCAATCCGCATTGAGCGCGCGTGGTGGGTCCATTCATGGAGAAGACCTGTGCCCTGCAGTGGGGACATCAATGGGCTGGTGATAATGATAGTGACGTTATTTCATTTTTTTGACATTTTACCCAAAGGGGCTGTTCAAGTATTACGTAAGCACTATAGAGGGGCAGGGGGGTCTTTGCTTTGCTTATTTTTGATGACATGGGGGAGTGGGGGGTCGAGATAGTGATTACGTCAGCATCATGGATTAGGGTATCATGGACTGAAGATTGTATACATATACCAAAAATTTGAAAGAAGTCGGTTTTGTTCGTAACAGGACCTAACTCAATGTTGAATACTGTGTCAATAAAGTTTATTTCAATGAATTTTATGTGCGTTAAAGTCCTCTATTGTAAGCCTATTTAAGTACTGCTGCTCATGAAGCTCATGAATGAATAAAAACAACAGAATACATTAAAGGGAAAATGCATGTAGATACCAATGTTTACGTAAGCACGTGAGAGGAAAGTAAGTGCTTTGCTTACTTTTGCTGACAAGGGGGAAGAGGGGGTAAATAATTGTAATAAATCTGCTTACGTAATACTCGAACGGCCCCAAAAAAGTTCAAAAACGCGGATGCGACTCACGCTCGCACTGGTCCCAAGCGGTCCGAGATATAGTGTCCGCGAGCGGTGTCTATGTGTGCGTCGCTCGAGCGCATCTTGTACGTAGATTACCTTCTGCACTATCTATTTTGCGGTTTGTGTACATATTCCGAACGCAAACAATGACAGAATGTTTTGTATAGTATTATTGTGTCGCTATGGCTAGTCCTTTGCGTGTTGCTCTTTGAAAGAACCGTATTAACTAATTAACAGGTACTAATAGAGATAGTAAAAAAATTTTGGTATTAAAGCAGCAGTCACTTCAATACGGATGATGACTAATTTCTTTTTCTGCGTTTATCAGGTAGATTATCAAAAAGTATTGGACACGTATTTTTTCTTTTTTCACATAGTATAAACATTGCAGAGATATGTTGATGCGCGCCAGGGGCGCGGGCAGAAGTCTGAAAGAGGAAGCATATAAGGATAGTAAAGATAAAAGTAGGTATACAAGAAAATAGGGAGGTGAAAAGCAAAGTAAAGAAAAGTCGATTCACATTAGTCCCGTTAAATACTACTCGTTTGCTTCGAGTTGGCCGTCGATAGCTAATCACAGGCACATCAACTGGTACCATCCATCGTCCAATAAGGTCGACTAATAGGGACTGTCTAAAGCGCGGTGTTCTGAAGCTGGGAGGGTGGAAGCAGCCAATTCGAAGCGAACGAGTAGTGCTTTGGTTATTAAGGGTATCTCTTATCTATTAGACAAGTCCGTCCGTCCGTCTGTCTGTGGTGCTGTTTCAGCGGCCAAACCGTAAGAGATAGATAAAGAGAATGTTTAAGTTATGAGTTAAGAATAGTCTGATAAGACTACAAACCGGATTTGAGTAACGTAGCACTTCCGGTTTTCGAGAAATCACATTCAATTTCAAACGAAACCACACAAAATCTCCGAAGTTCTCAATTAATTAAATACATTTTTTTTTTCAATCAGGTTTTGGTGCACATTTGGTTCACTGGTTTGCTAGTGCGTTATTAATAGAATGCAGGGTTCACTCAACACATTCACGCAAACTCATGCACACACAGATACACACACAAACACGATCATACTCAAATGAGTCCTTTAGTTAGTGTGGTCTCTACTAGAGACCCTACTACAACGCACTCCACGATATTTCATTAAATTATACAAATGTGAAAAATAATATATACTATGAACCTTAAACTAAAAACCTTAAAAAATCTCTTATCTATTAGACAAGTCCGTCCGTCCGTCCGTCCGTCCGTCCGTGGTGCTGTTTCAGCGGCCAAACCGTAAGAGATAGATAAAGTGAATGTTTAAGTTATAAGTTAAGAATGATAATACTACAAACCGGATTTGAGTAACGTAGCACTTCCGGTTTTCGAGAAATAACGTGATTTCTATTTCAAACGAAACCACACAAAATCTCCGAAGTTCTCAATTAATTAAATACATTTTTTTTTGGTGAACATTTGGTTCACTGGTTTGCTAGTATAATATAATAACTAAAAGTATTACTAAAAGGAGTCCCTTTAGGCAAGGTTCCGAAGATACTGGCAGCGTTCCCCCTTTGAATAGCTAGACTAATTCGTTGTCCGTAGCTGCCAGCTCTTCGGTCTCCAGTGATGTCGACTAACCTTTTTAATATTTCCTTAAAAAACCTCATAGCGCTAGGACCCCACGGACCAAGGGTCTCGACACCGAATGGGACAAATTCATATTCGGAGCCTAGACCCCTGTATTTGCATGCTTTTGCTTTTTCAGCCGCTTCACCAGCTCTGTTGTTGGTTCCATGTAGATGGGAAAATTTTATATATCATGATATTTCATTAATATGCAGCATGTTTTTTTGAATGTCAACGTGCGCATAATATGAGACAAGTTATAAAAAATTAAAGATCAAGTTCACAAATGTCATAATTGAGTCCTAAGTTTTTTTTTTTCAAAAATAATACCTACTACGATAAACAATGGAAATATCACAAAGAATTAAAATGTCAAATAGGTATGTTCATTCATAGTCATAGTAAAAAATTAAACATGTGAATAAATAATTCGTTATTTGAATTATTGACTGGCTAAAATTGATTTATCGATTATCGATCTCGTCTGCAAAGAATGAATAATTTGTTACCGAAACAACCTGTCATCGTATTCAAGAAAATTTATAACAATAGTTTATTGTGGTTTTCTAGGAGTATTGACATCATGGGAAGACGGCTTCGAAGGCAGGGTGAAACCTTACAACTTGAGTAATATCAGAACACCCGTCTCACTTTGGTATGGAGAGAACGATAAACTGACGGCAACGCCTGTACGTATAACCAACTTTATTAATAACTAGTAGTGATGTAACGAATATTCGCATTCGCATTCGCGAATATTCGCATATTTTTGAATATTCGCATTCACATTGTCATTCGCAAAATCTCTGCGAATGTTTTGCGAATATGAATATTAGAAAAAAACAATTTGAAGGAGTTGTAGTTCTGCCTTTCCTTGAATATTCATTGCTACACAGTTTGCATTTAGCTCGTTCAGCATCGCAAACTGTGAAATAAGTCCATGTTTCACTAGAATTCGATTTACTCATGTTAATAAATCACTATTACCACTCACAATCACTAACCTCAAAATTCACTTGTTTTGTTTACGGAAAGACTGGCGCGAGCGGAATGACACTTCAGTCGGATGAGTTCATATCAACTCGGCAATTCGAACCAGACTGCCATCATGCCATAGACAATTGGCGCCAATTTAAAAAAAAACTAAATATTCGCATTCGCGAATGTCGGTACCAGACATTCGCATCCGCATTCGCATTCGCGAATGTTCAAAAAATGACATTCGTTACATCACTAATAACTAGCATCTCAGATTAAGACCGCAAGACAGATTGATTAAAGGTACTAAGGGGCCGTTCAAGTATTACGTAAGCAGATTTACTACAATTATTTACTCCGTCCTCCCCCTTGTCAGCAAATTAAGCCAAGGCAACGCGCAGAGGCAGTCCCGTGAAAACACCAGACACACCAAATTGTATTTACTGCGCCCGGATTTGCGCAAAATTCACGGGCGCTAGGTACGCATGGCAGGGCTTGTAATCGGTTTCGAAAATACCGGTAAATATAGGTCTATACCGATTTTTAGTAAAGGTTTCGTTCGGAGCAAGTCCTACCTCAAACCGGTTTAATCCAGAGCGACACGTGCACGCGTCGGCATCGCATGAAGTTTTGTTTGAACTAATCAAGTCAATTTATCTAGAAATACATATGTATAAAATAAGCATCCATGACTTGGGTACAAATGCTCGCATGCATCATTCTAACATTTGCCGCACTGGGAACTCTAAGTAGACGACACCTTAAAACACGGAGTGCATTACATACCACTCGCGCCAAGGAAGCCGTCCCATATTAATAACATAAAAATTAATATTTTCAGGAAATCCTACGCTTGGCTCGTGAATTGAACGAGACCGGTGCCCTGCACTCCGTGAGACCCGTGCCTCAGTGGAAAAAATTCAACCACCTCGACTTCGTATACGCCAAGGACGTTGGCAAGATCCTGAACACACCACTAGTGGCCCACGTCAAAGAACTATTCGACCAATTTGATAAGCGTCAAGTGAAATAGTGTAGTGTCGTGAAGTAGTGAACTGAAACACAACCAAACTTGTGAATTTGTATAAAACATAAAGCTAAAAACAGTTATACTTGTCATATGACATTACCTAATGAAGAAAGCAGGGCTTGAAACCGGTTTCAAAAATACCGGTAAATAAGGGTTTATACCGGTTTTTAGTAAAGATTTCGTTCGGAGCGCGTCTGAAATGAAAGCGGTACCTAAAACCTTAATAAACCGGTTTAATCCAGAGCGACACGTGCACGCGTCGGCATCGCTTGAAGTTTGTTTTGTCTGAACTAATGAAGTCACAACTTGTTAATGCTCAGAGATTGATGCATTTATTGACACGTTTGCTAGCGTCTAGTGAGTCAAGTTATTCATTTTGTAGTTGTGTATTTATTTCAGCCGTCAGTAAGAGCGAAATGAAACCCTTTGAAAATCGCTAAATTGATTCAAAATCTATTTGATTTCGCCTTTTAAGAAAACCGTTTTTGACGTGACAACGTCTTAAATTAGGTTGCGGCTGGGAGTCACTTATGAAAAAGTGTAACGCTCGGTAACGTTACGATGAGTCTCTCGTGTTAAGTTTAAGTTTACATGTACAATGTTTTAGTAAACAAAATATATTTCTATAGTTAAAATTTGTGCAATTCTTATTTTCATTCAATTCCTTGTTCCTATTGTGCAATTTAATTATATTCATATCAATAAATATTCTACCGAGAAAAAGACGTTGTCACGTAAAATCTTCGCCCGTAAAACCGACTTTACAGGCAACCATTTTTTTTTTTTAAGGTTAAGGTAGAGCCAAACCTAAATAAAACGCTCCTAATGTACTTGACACTGATTTAGGTTTGGAAATTAACCGGTAAACAAGCCCTGGAAGAAAGAATACCATTACATATCTTGTAATGGCAACGCGATTACCATGGAAGTGGTGCAAGCTCAAATCACTGGACAATAACAGAACTTTATTTGATAATAAATTATAATTAAAAATAAGTGTAAGTAAGTTTAGATCTATCCATCTAACAAAGCAAGTTGGATGAAACTTAGAATTTATTACTCATTAGACTTTGCCCGCTATCTCTTCCGAATGGATTTTGAGAAATAACTAGGCAAGTTTCAACGAGCATAAAAATAGTGTGCGTGTGGAGTGATAAGTCTCTTAGGCGTAAAATACACAGAAGCGATGAAAGATTCGGATACGATGCGGATGAGAGACGGATACGGCACCGATGAGACTTAAATCACTACATAGTATAAAACAAAGTCGCTTTCTCTGTCCCTATGTCCCTTTGTATGCTTATATCTTTGAAACTACGCAACGGATTTTGATGCGTTTTTTTTAATAGATAGAGTGATTCAAGAGGAAGGTTTATATGTATAAAACATGCATAATATAGTAGAGAAACACTGATAATTTTAGAGGTTTTTAATATAAGGTCGTAAATAAACACATTTTTTTGCGCTTACATTGCAAACGCTGGCTGAACCCAACGAGATAGATCAAAATAATGTACTACAGTATTGTACACCTCAAAAAGGTCTACAAAAAAGTCCGCGATGGTATATGCCTATCTCTTTGGTATAACCCACAATAAACATTTTTTAATTACTTATTACGAGAAAATAATGGCTTATTTACGAACAAGCGATTTTAAGCAATACAGCATTAATCCTTATCCAATTAAGTACCTTAAATATATTGTGCGTGTAATATAGATCAATATAACCCTCTACAGCATGTAATTTAAATGAATATTTTCGAAGATATTACAGATTTAAAATGCAGGAACATACCGGTTCGGGCAGTACTGGCCGGGGGGCCGGCGGCGGCGCGTGTCTTTAGTAATTAGGTATTTAAAGAAAGTCATTGTGTTTAATAGAAACCTGAGAACAAAAATATAATCTAAACTACAGCTCTACACCGAAGCGAAGCGAGGGCGGGCCACTAGTTACATATAAAAGGCAAAGATCTGATTAAGATCGTTATTATACAGGCTGACTTTGTTGCAAAACATGTCCTCTTCAGAAGACGAAGATGCGTTTGCTGTGCTCCAATTTATGAATATAGAAAATGTGCATAGACAAAGGTCTTATTGGGTGCATCCGGTATGGAGTTTGTCACAAGAACATAGATATTTTAAGATAATGGAAAAATTATATGAATATCCAGATCGTTTTGTATTCATACTGTATAACAAGCGATACGTGCTCTTCGCACGGCGGTCGGTCGCAACTGCAAGGCCAGCGAGGTGGCAGTGTTACCAACCCTAACCAAAATGTTACCCTAAGTATTTTTTAAATTCCCCTAAAATCCCCTAAATATAGAAATTTATATGTACCTACTTATCTTATTACCTAAATTCTTTGGTTGCTCATTATTTTATTGAATAAACATCTTCCGAATGGAAAATCAAAAGAAAATTGAGCTGACAGGCTGTTAAATCTTATTTAGCTGTTTTGATTGGTGGAAGGCAAAGAACTTTAGTCCATACAGCCTTAGGAAACAACCTGCAGTGAGTTCAGTCGTTTCATATCGTGGTGCGTTCCATTCTACGCACAAAACTGAAAGAAAACACACGCTTTATTTTTCGATTTAATTGCAAATTTTGTTAAAAGACCCTAAAAAAACCCCCAAAAAATTCCAACCCCTAAAAAGTCCGTTTTAACCCTTCTAGCCCCTAAATTTGGGGGCAAAACCCCTAAGTTGGGAACCGTGCGAGGTGACATCCTTTCTGTGTAATTTACGACGCATCACTTTCATACGTTTTTACTATTTAATAAACAAAATAATGATGTTCGTATGCTTTATATTAACTTTTTTGCAGTGATGTTGGTACGGTGTGCGAAATTGTGTCTTATATTGAATTTAACTATTCTATATCATGATTTATTGGTTTGTAGTGTCCAGGTAGGTTTAATATTGTAATTTTAATAGATTTGTATTATCTGTGTTTACCTACCTTCTAATGTGAGCATAAAAATTCAAATGTTATATTTTAGTCCTTATTTTCATTGTTTGGTAAAATTTAGTATTGGTTTGTTATAATATTGATAAAAATGCACTCGGACATATTTTCTGTTTTGAAATTACCTTCGATGGATTTTAAATTGTGGATATTTTTGTCTCATTTTAATTTTCTCTCTTTACAGATTGTTTTAATTAATTTTATACATTGATAGGAACACTGTTTCATATTATACGGGAATGGGCGTTAATTCTGCAACACAGTTTTTGTAAAACTAAAGCAGTTCTAACGATTCATAATTTTATGTACATTGCACTTGTTCCAAATAAAGTTATTATTATTATTATACATTTCGTAAGAATATAATTTGAAGCGACAACAAATCCGATCCGCATCCGCATCGTATCCGAATCTTTCATCGCTTCTGTGTATTTTACGCCTTAGTTTCTTCTTACCTAACCCACAGGATGCTAAATTTTTTCAATACACTTTTTGATGTGAAAACCTCTTTAGTGCCGTTATAACTTGAGGGTTGACACAAGGTAGGTAGGTATCGGAAACTTTGTCACTCTCTGCAAGAAAGAGACAGATAGCTAAACAGAAACCGTCTTGGGGTCCATACCGAGTGATCGGTGATTCAATCCAGCCCCCTCTAGCATGACCACCAAAACGGGATATGATAAAGCGATATATCGACATTAACTGTCAGACTACTGTCAAACTCCATAGTAGTCTGACAGTTAATGCCGATATATCGCTTTATCATATCCCGTTTCGGTGGTCATGCTAGAGGGGCTGAGCTCGGTTAAAAAGAATTCAATGTTTTTTTACTGAAGACATTATTTACATTACATTTGAAACAAATTATTACACAGTATATTACAATACCTGAATAGTTAAGTTTTAAACGTATTGTAGGTACATATGTAGTTTATGAATACGGCTCTAGATTTTTTTTATAATTTAGAATTTAAACAAAACATTTCAATATTTCATTTTAATAAAATCGTGTTGTTTATAATCATGTTTTTTCATTTATATATTATAACGAATTATAACGAATGATAATAATATTGGTTTCTTTAATAGGGGTGATGACGGGGTACAGTAAACGAAATTCTATTTAGTCCGTCAGTTAGATGATCAAAAAATAATGGACACGTATTTTTTCTTTCATCAACCAAAAAATGACAAGGTTATAGCGCGTCAAAGTTTGGGAGTAGGGGCTCGTGACGTCACTTTTGAGTGAATTTTCACTTAAAAGTGTACTCAAACGTGACGTCATGCGACTTTTCAAATCAATATATCTCTACAATGTTTACATTATGTGAAAAGAGAAAAAATACGTGTCCAATAGTTTTTGATAATCTACCTGATAAATGAAGAAGAAAAAATTTAGTCATCATCCCTATTGGCTTTAAAAATATGTTTTTATAATAGACGATTTTTGAGGTTATACTTCTTTAGGCGCGTTATGAAAAAATGATGAGAGTGTAAGATGCGCGCGCATCACTGTAACGGTAACCTTAGTACGAGTTTTACAATTTAGTTTTCGTGAGCTCGCACTCATACTAAGGGTACTGATTTTATTGTTTTCTTTTCAATACCAATAAACAGAGTTCAAATTCTATCATTAAATCATTTGCGTCTTCTTAAATTTTAAGTATATTTGGTAACTCATCACTCAAAATGGACATAGAAACATAATTTACAATTACGAAAACTAAGATAGTTTTCGCAAACTCAAACTCGTACTAAAGGTACAGAAAAGTAACACCACGAAGTTGGCCGCTAAACCACACATCAAGTCTCGAAAAAAAGTTACCGACTAAATACAATTGACACTCTCGTCGCCTCTGATCACTGTTTTCATATTTATAATATTTATCGACATGTTTCTAGTTTTTTATATTCACAACACTTGTTTTAGTTTCATACAAGTGCGAATTATATTTAATTAGTGATTTAAATTGAATATTTTGATTATTTATTTTTTTGTGTTTACCGCACATTAAGAAAATCTACCAACAAAATAGAAATAGAATCTCTATTTAGTGGGTGCTAACGACTGCATTGTGAAGGCCTATCAAAAGTATTTATTAAATCTAAAGAAAAGTTTACTAGAATAAAAATCCACGCGGACCAGGCAGCGGACGGGACTCGAACCCGCATCCTTCGCAATCCGGGCGAATGCACTGACCATTATGCTACCACGGCCCTCTTCGCCGCGTCGAAATTTTCCTAGCCTTAGGCTGCAAGGCAGCGCCATCTCTTCGCATTGTAGGCAACCCACAATGTCAAATGAATACTTTTTCAAGTATTAAACATTTGAAAGAAGAAATAGCAATTATAGTTATGATTTTATTTATTTTTAAGCATTTAACTGCTAGATGTTTAAATCTAAAGAAAAGTTTACTAGAAAAAAAATCCACGCGGACCAGGCAGCGGACGGGACTCGAACCCGCATCCTTCGCAATCCGGGCGAATGCACTGACCATTATGCTACCACGGCCCTCT